TTTTTATTTTTTATCTTGAAAACGAAAAGAGATAGACTAATGAAATTTTATGGAAGCATTACTGTTATGAAAGCACATTATCTGGTAATATTTTCACTTTTTTAAAATGAGTGGAAGGGGTTGAAATAAACTACCCCTATCATTCTTGTTAACGAAATTTAAAGAAAAATCTTATCAAACACATGCAAAAAAACTAATTTGGATAGTTTAGTTTGTTTAGAAACTTTTTTACCTCTTGTGTTTTTTTGATAAAACTCACCGATTGGAAATTAAAAAATAAAATGTAAAACATTACATGTCAGGACAAAAAACATTTTTAGATTAAGAATCTAGTGATAATAACGATAATAATAATCATCTAGATAATAACGTATTGCAGTAGAGTAATGTCAAATAAAATAATATTAGGAACATCCTAAAAAGTAACAGCGGCCGACTAGATTTTTTCCTAAAAAAATTACAGCAGCCCACTAGATTCTTTATCAGAAAATGTTTTTTGTCCTGACATGCTTTACATTTTATTTTTTAATTTCAAATCGGTGAGTTTTATCAAAAAAATACAAGAGATAAAAAAGTTTCTAAACAAACTAAACTATCCAAATTAATTTTTTTGCATGTGTTTGATAAGATTTTTCTTTAAATTTCGTTAACAAGAATGATAGGGGTAGTTTATTTCAACCCCTTCCACTCATTTTAAAAAAGTGAAAAAATTACCAGAAAGTGTGTTTTCATAACAGCAATGCTTCCATAAAATTTTATTAGTCTATCTCTTTTCGTTTTCAAGCTAAAAAATAAAAACATTATTTTTCCGCCATTTTTGTACCGCAATATCTCCCTAATGGTTGACTTTTGACCCAACGTTTATGAAGCAAACTACCTTTTATTTTGAACAAGGAATCACCCCCTGAAGTTTTTCGCATTTTTTTGAAACACCCTGTATATTGTATTTATTAACTGTATATTATGTGTATTTCATGTAAACTATATCATTTTTAAAATACAAACCAAAAATACGAGGAATAATTATGTTTTCCATGTATTCTACAATATATTTATTAGTCCGTAGTATCTAACGAGCGTGACGTCATAAATCTCGCTTCGAGGCTGTTCTATTAGAGATTGGTCTGATATTTAGAAATGTCAAATGCTGATGACATTTTCCTTTTGACAATTATGACATTTCGTGTTGATTTTTGCAAGAAGAGGAAGAACTGTCACTTATTTTATTATTTTCCTTTTCTATTTCACGAAAGTAAAAAGAGTTACCTATCTGATTCGTTCAGACACTCAATTTAAAGAATATCAGTAATATTTTGATAGAGGGATTTTATATTTGCCATGTTGGTAAAAAATAACGGTCAAAATTCAAAGTTATTCATTTTATAGACTATACAAATAGTGTCTATACCTTTGTGGAGGACTCGTTTCTTCTGGATATTTCACCACTAGCAGAAAATTTACAAAATAAAACATTTATTTTTTTTGAAAATACCCTGTATACTCTGTAAACGTTTAAATAGAATTAGACTGGACTAATTCCATCCACTCTAACATTTGCCACTAGTCCCAATGCCTTAACCTCTTGCATTTTATATCCGGCTACGATAAAACGACAGTTTGCTTTTTTTTATTGCAAATGTTCTTTGAGCCAGGGGCATTTAAGAAAATTGAATTTTCAGCGGTCGATGCGACCGGACAAATCATTCTCTCAGCTTTCAGCGCGCTAATCTCAGAGCTGAAACGACTATTTTACTTGTTTCGCCTTCAAGCAGATCTAATCTGTATTCTTTACTATCGGATGTCGTGGTCAAAGTCCTGAAAGCAGTTGTTGCTTGGAAAAACACTATTTTACGCATTTTTTTCCCTAGAGCAGCAGCACATTCAGGGCATTTTATGTAGGACTAATATTAACTAAAAATTCCCAATCTGTAGAATGCAACTAGCCTACAATCAATTTCGGATATATTTTTGCAGTTTGAATATATCTTTTTTTCAAAAGAAAAAACAGAAACCTCACTGCCAGAATTTCTTTAAAAATTTCAAAATACTGACTCTTCCTTCTTTATTCATTTTTGAATCCGTTTGCTTAATCCGCAAGCACATATCTGCTATTCCCGAAAGGCCGCCCCACAACTATCCACTTAGGAATGCGGAGCACGATCTTTATCTGCCAACCCCGAACTCATAAAAGTTAAAGGCTCAATGCTGTACAGGGTGAGTCAACGATAGAGTAAAGTCCATTAATTCATTTGTTTCGAGGTTTACAAAAAAATGTTAAATACAAAAGTTATAGGGAAGATTAAGATACACATTTTAAAATTATTATAGAGTATACAAGGTGCTTCAAAAAAGTGTGGCGGATATAACATATGATTTTTTAAAGGCAACACCGTATTTTTTATTTCATTTTTAGATTCTGCCTAAAATTCTATAACTTTTTTATATATAATGTTATATACCTAAAATTAATATTTTTGGTAATATTTAAATTTTTTTAAACAAATGTTTAATAACAGTGTGGTAAAAAATTGTCAGTTGTACCACAAATTACCTATAACAGATGCGAAAGAAAGCGACTGCATCGGAAACCGCTCGGCAAACCCGACACGCCTATTGAGTGGTGTAAATACACCAGTCGTTTAGTCCGGAAACCTATGCTGTGTCGTATTCGCTTGCTGGAATGACATAGTGCGTGGTTATATGTTTCTTTTTAAAAACGCGTGTGGGATTTTCGGAACTTTTGAACTGTTATTTCTAAGTTTTGGTAATTTGCAAATCTTATTTAAAATGGGATGCAAATGCATTTATTTATAAGGAAAAAAAATATATTTATAGTATAAAAATTAATTTATTTAACAACATTTAATTAAAAATGTGACAAAATAGTTACCTTTCTATTGGTTCTATCGGACTTTTTTCGACTATATAAATCTTTATTTGTAAATTTTAATACATCAAATATTTTCAATCTAATAAATCATTTAACGATGTAAATAAGAGGAAATTTCTCACATGGGTGGTCAAATTTTATAGTTTTCATTATATCAAACAGCCTCTGAGAAATGTTTTCAACTCAAAATGCCTTTAATTATGTTTGACTACATCATTAAAAAGGGTCTTCAAATACATCAATGTGATATTTGTCTAAAATTTGCAAAAGAATCCGAATCTCTGGATAACTCGAAATTATTTACCCATTTAAAAGCCTTTGATCATGAAAGTGGAAAAATTTGTTCATTTTATTTACAGGCTGGAAAAATTATTTATATTAAATTTTGATGAGTTTTGCACTGAAGAAAACATTCAGAGGCTGTTTGATATAATGAAAACTATAGAATTTGACCACCCATGTGAGAAATTTCCTCTTATTTACATCATTAAATTATTTATTAGATTGAATATTTTATGCATTAAAGTTTACAAAAAATAAAGATTTATATAGTCGAAAAAAGTCCGAGAAATGTAACTATTTTGTCACATCTTTAACTAAATTTTGTTAAATAAATTAATTTTTTATACTATAAATATCTTTTTTTCTCCTAATCTCCTACGAGTTGATATAATATGACGAGCAATCTATTAAATTACTGTGAGATTATACAGAAAAGTCCACAGACTTCGAGACATAGGAAAATCAAGTCCATTTAGCGTGTGTCCAAATTTTGACAAGTTTTCAAAATTGACAGTTTTGTTTAGACTGACGTTTAATTTCACCTGACTTCTCGGTGAATGATTTCTTTTTATGGGGGTACATAAAATCTAAAATTTACGGCCATGAAGAAATTCAAAACTTGAAGCAGTTAAGGCAGAAAATATTTAATGCCTTTGACACTGTCACCCCTGATATGTTATCCAATGTGAGGAGGGGATTTTATGATCGTTTGGGTTATTGTTTAATGCAAGAGGGAGGCACTTTTGAACAATTTTTGTAATTTTTTAAATTTCATTATCCTGTTTTTTTTACCGTTTACCCATTACCTACCTTGACGAACATGGGAAAACGAAGGTCCTTTTCAGGACCACAAATATTTTGATTGAGAAAATTGGTAACTTTTTTTTGGATTAAAAAGCAAAAGTTGTTAATATAATACTGTTTTAGTAGTTTTAATACACACTATGATATAAAATGTATTATTATTATAATGTACATTATTAATACTATTGTTCATTCGAAATGGCATTAAGGCCCAATTGCAACAATGATTTAAATTTTTTTAAAGATAAGTAGAGCTTAGAATGAGCTGTATTTATATTTACTTTAATATTCACCTTAAATGAGGGAATTTGACTGATACAATTTTTGAATTTGAATTGTTTTTAATGATACTAACAATTTTAGTTCAATTTTTAATAAAATTTATTTAATATTAATAGAAATCCAAGAGATTTGAAACCTCTTTTAGCGATTTATAACATTCTCAAATGAATTACAGGTGCCCTTATTTTCTATGAAAATCACACAGCTTTTTCATAGTCGCTGCAGTTTCTATAGCTATAAAAAACTAATTTTTTAAGGTGTGAAAATTGCGACACACGCTAAATGGACTTGATTTTTCGTATGTCTCGAAGTCTGTGGACCTTTTTGTATGCCTCGATAACATATTGGTGCAGATTATTTTCACCCAAACAAATAATAACCCAAACTATGCATTGATGCGGATTGTCTATAAACTCTTTCTGAAGGTCACAGAAACCTGAACTCGTAATTCGGTGTTCTTTCGCATCTGTTATAGGTAATTTGTGGTTGTACGATTGTTTCTGAAGTTGGAATACCAAAATTTGGTATGAGAGTTCTATAGAGATTAAAAAGAAGATATATGTTAATAATGAGATAATGGACTCTATCATGGACTCACCCTGTACAATGCCAAAAAATGTACAATCGTCTGCCTTTGAATATCAAGTCGCTTTCATTCTTTCCCGCATTTCGCTAATATATCTGTCTCTTCTCTAATATAAATCGTAGGATTTATAAAAAATTAAAAACTATTTCTACTTACGAACAAAGATGTTGGACATCAGAGTGGCCGGCAGGCAGAACACGATCACCAGTATGTCCGCCACTGCCAGGTTGACGATGAAAAAATTAGTGACCGTGCGCATGCGCGGGCTACGGATTACCACGGCTATGACGAAAAAGTTGCCCACCAGGCCGACGGCGAACACCAGGATATAGGCAACGCAATACACAGCGGTCATGGCGGCCGAATGACGGTAGAACAGCTCGGAGGCTAGGGCCGTCCCTGTTTCGTTGAAGGTGACATTGAAATAGACAGGGACGGCGGTGGTTGTGGGTCCTAGGTGTCTGGCAATGGACGCCTGAAAGGAAGAAAAAAAATTGTAAATAGTTCTTCTTTTTTTGTTTGAGAAAAATATATCCAATCAAAAATATGTCTTGCAACGCAATTCTTCCTCTACAAAAATTTATCTTCTATTAAACTATTAGACATTATTATTTCTGTAATAATTATAACTTCAACTGGAGAATCGTCTAGAGAGACAGAATTAGAAACACACATATCAGGCAACAATGTGGAATACAGGATGTAGTGAGATGGGGTAAGCAAAGAAAAAGACAGTGGTTTGCACACGTAAAACGCATGGAAGAAAACAGGCTACCACGCATAGCTCTTGAAGGGAAATCCATGGGTAAGAGATAGCCGGGAAGACCTCCAAAAAGACGGAAAAACAGAGGAAGAGGAAGAGGAAGAGGAAGAGGAAGAGGAAGAGGAAGAGGAAGAGGAAGAGGAAGAGGAAGAGGAAGAGGAAGAGGAAGAGGAAGAGGAAGAGGAAGAGGAAGAGGAAGAGGAAGAGGAAGAGGAAGAGGAAGAGGAAGAGGAAGAGGAAGAGGAAGAGGAAGAGGAAGAGGAAGAGGAAGAGGAAGAGGAAGAGGAAGAGGAAGAGGAAGAGGAAGAGGAAGAGGAAGAGGAAGAGGAAGAGGAAGAGGAAGAGGAAGAGGAAGAGGAAGAGGAAGAGGAAGAGGAAGAGGAAGAGGAAGAGGAAGAGGAAGAGGAAGAGGAAGAGGAAGAGGAAGAGAAGAGGAAGAGGAAGAGGAAGAGGAAGAGGAAGAGGAAGAGGAAGAGGAAGAGGAAGAGGAAGAGGAAGAGGAAGAGGAAGAGGAAGAGGAAGAGGAAGAGGAAGAGGAAGAGGAAGAGGAAGAGGAAGAGGAAGAGGAAGAGGAAGAGGAAGAGGAAGAGGAAGAGGAAGAGGAAGAGGAAGAGGAAGAGGAAGGAAGAGGAAGAGGAAGAGGAAGAGGAAGAGGAAGAGGAAGAGGAAGAGGAAGAGGAAGAGGAAGAGGAAGAGGAAGAGGAAGAGGAAGAGGAAGAGGAAGAGGAAGAGGAAGAGGAAGAGGAAGAGGAAGAGGAAGAGGAAGAGGAAGAGGAAGAGGAAGAGGAAGAGGAAGAGGAACGGTCTGACTGAAACGTTGTGATAATCAAAATAAATAAAGACAATGGAAGTCCAAAATTTTTTTAGTTTCAATACTGAATCACTGTCTACCACATTCAGAGAAGCTTTACTTTAGATCTTTGAATAAGAAGACTAAGGAAGGAGCATAATGTTATCCATGTATTCATGCATGGTGGGCGGAAAAAGCGCCATAAAAGCACTCTAGGGTGGGGATCCTTGACAGTTCTGTTTGACGATTCATTTGACACATTTGAATTTGATTTGAAATTTTGTGGATTTGTCAGTCTTTACGGAGCTTATTTTATGTTATTTATTATTTATTCTACTACTGATAGTTGTATAAAGGTAGTAAATCTAGATGGAAATTGTGGCAGCACTTAAATTAACAGTGACACTATCGCGATTTATCGAAAAAGACTCTAAAATAGTTGGTTGTGTAGCGTGCGGTAGATCTCGGCAAAAATTGAGTGAAATAATGGAACAACTTTTCGCTAGTAAGTGACTATATAATATACATACGTGTAGTAAACCGATCATTTATGAAATTCACTTAAATTAACTAAATTATATATTTTTCTTGCATTTTAGCTTTTATTTATTACTTGTCAAAGATTAGATGTCAAAGAATTTAGATACGTTAATTTGACTTACCTGCTTCAGTAGCGTATCGGATGTTTGTGGTAATAAATACTTATTATAACTTATCTATTTTTATTAGAATTATATATTTTTATAACAATTTTAATAACTACCAACATTTATTCACAACGTAAAATAAAACAACAAATTATTGAAGCCTAGTTCTCATGGAGCGGAAAATCGCGTTGCGGGAGCGGAATAACGCTTATTGCAGCTTATCGTTGAAGAAAGTAAAATTGGCCGGTTCACATGAAGCGGAATTCCGGATGCGGATTTTTATATAAATGTAGGGTATTTCAGATTATTTTCTAGTCGTTTTTTTTAATGTCAGAACTTGAAAGGTGACAGTGACAAGACAAGTGTGTTTTTTAAGTAAATAAACAATAAACAAAAATATTTGTAACTTGTATATTATTACATATATTAAATAATTTAAATTTTATGTGATTATGGATACTAATATTACTAACAATTATAACTATTATAAATGGAGAAGGCAGTAGGTACATAGTTGGATTAATATTAATTTATGAATGGCAAACAAAAAGTCTTTACAAAAATAAAATAAAATAGAATAAAAAAAGAGAATGTGGGTCAGAGATATTTTCTTATAAAAGTCAACTCCAAAATTAAAATTCAAAGTACCTAAACAATCAAAACCAAAACAAACAGCTTCCCTCCCAATTTGAGGTTAGGTTAAAAATTAAACGAAGAAAGAACATGTTTAGACAAAGATAGACTATAAAAACTCGCTAAAAAGTTAAAAATAGTTTAACTTTTTGCGGATCCGCCAAAAGTTGAAATTTTTCCTCAGCGGGACAATTTTAAAAAAATCCGCGCTCGTAACGCGATTTTCCGCCCCATGAGAACTAGGCTTGAGTCTACCCCACGTCTACCCTACATCATAGTTTTACATTTTTTAAATAAAATTAGAATGACACTGATAAACCGGAATTTAAGTCGGCCATATTTGAGGCCCATCACGGCGTACCTACGATTTTTGATATGCTCCTTCCTTAGTCTTCTTATTCAAAGGTTTAGATAGACAATAATTTATTAAAAAAAACATAAAAAGACGCGTTCTTGACATGAAAGAGTAGCAAATTCGACGAAACTACAACGGTTATGGTTCGATAAAAATAGAAAAAGATAAAAGCTGATTCCCGTTCGTGTATGAGCCGATAAAAAATATCAAAGTATTATAGATCGGTAGTAAAAATTTCGACAACGGATATCCGTTGACTGGTATCCGGTAATTTCGATGAGAAAATTTTAAAATACGATCCGCCTTGACACAGATTCCTGTAATACCGCCTGCCGGGGAGGCTGAGTCCGGATCTGTCGCCAGTTCAGGCATTAAATCATACGTTTTGACTAGATACGCGATTTTAAAAGTAATTTGAAGCCAATTTTTGATAATTTATTTTTTTTTATTAATTTAAAAAAAAATTAAATCACACCCTCGATGTTTTATTCAATTTTTTCCGTATTTTAGATATTTTTTATCAGGTTTTTACGATCTTTTTCTTTTAACACGCTGCTTTGAAATACGAAATTCAATTTTTCTTTATGTTTTTAACTTTTTCCTTCCCTTTTTTCCTTTTCTGACTATATTTACTATATACAGGGTCGCTGTTATGTATGGAAACGGTCGATTATTACGTAAAATATACAAGGTACCGCAAAAAGTTAAATACAAAAATTATAGAGTTTTTAAATGTCTATTGGCGAGTAATAAATGTATGTATACAGGATTGGTCATAAAGTCGTGGCACATCAAAGTTTCATTTTTTTAAATAGAACCCCCTGTATATTATTGCATATTTCAATTCTTCCTTCAATTCTAAGCAAAAATCGAAATACATACAATGTACATATAGATACATCCTCGTTCCGTTTGAAAAAATTGAGATATGATTAAAAAAACGATTTGGGTATCTTTTAACGGCCAGGACAAGACACTAAGAACATTAGACGATAATTTTATTTCCAAGGCTCCTTGAAGATTAAAAATTAGTGTTTTTAACACAGTCATGGTACTATAGATTGAAATTTAAAATACGATTTTTTTAAAGCGAAAATGTCAAAAGTGGACATATAATATGTCATTCTATTCAGAGTAAAATTTGTTTTTTTGCTACTGTTTCTTCTGTGTTTTACTTCCTCTAAATTTAATCTATTAGATACCAATTTTGCCATAATATCAAGATATTGTGTTTATTTAATTAAAAATATAAACATTTTTCAAATATTTTTTCAAAAAATAAAAAAAAATCACAAAAAAAACTCATAGACCTTTTTCTGGGGTCGAAATATATTTATACAATCCCTTAAAATTATTAGCTGGCACTTATTTCAGACTCACCTCGTATAGTTTATGTAATAAAAAGATTGTTTCAATATACAGGGTCTTTTCAAACATCGTAACCACCGCGTAAAACAGGGAACTCCTGTATTTTAACTTTTTCATGTCTCCTATACATTAACTACAAAACGATCGAAAAAAAACGGCGTCAAAGACGGCTGCGGAATCACAGCGATGATAATTTTGGCGAGGTTAAGCCCTAGACGTCGTTTGATTTGCCCGTACTCTTCTTAATTTATTAATGGCCGCTTACTGCCAGGTGGCTTTAAGTAAAAATTGAATTTTAAATGGTGTAGTTTAAAATTCGTCAACAAATATTTTTCGATCCTTTTTTTAATTAATTAAGTTTTATTTCATTTTTTTTTCTTTTAGTAAATGACTAGAGATTTGAGAGAGTCTAGAGATTGCCCTCGTCAAAATTATTATCGATTGTCATTCCCCCGTCGTCTTTGGAGCCGCCTTTTTTCGATCATACGGTATAACATACACTTTGACTATTCTAATTAATATTTATAAAATCACAATGGAAATTATACATAGAAAATACTTAATTTTTAAAAAGCTCTTAACGCTCACTGACCTACACCACAACTGTATAAATTTATCCCGAAATTCTCCATATATTTATATACCTAATAAATTCAAGCCATTTAATTTTTAAAACCCTTTAAAAATCACTACCGACCCCCGACAGTCCTATTACAAATTTATCCCCAACCCTAATACATTTTTAACCAAATCAAACTCTACAGTCCTTTAAGTTCTTAAAAAATCCTTAAAAATTCAACTAACTAAACTGACCTGCGGCAACTCCATGTACTCCCCTATTACCTCCTCGACCCCCGCACCTAGGTACCCCTCCGTTACCCCCCTCCACATATCGTCCTGTACCCCCACCACTCGTACTTCCCCTACTGGATACAGCATGGTTCCTCCGTGGTACTTTCCTGACTCCATTTAGTGATGGAACCCGAACCACCGCGAAGATAGCGGATCAAAGGGTGCCGACGACGCCGACGCTTGTGACATCGCGTAAGAGCGTCCCGACGCTGAACAGACGACGCTGATCGGTCGACGGTTGGAGCGGGAATGATGCGGCGTCGCGACGCTAAACGGGGGGATTTGGGAGAGCGAGGGGGGGCGGGGAATTCTAGCGTATTATTTTAGAGGGGGGTAGAGATAGTTTTTTTAATACTGAATTTTTTTAATAGTTTGTAGTAGTTTTTTTCATCTGAAACAAGGACACAAAAATGATTTATTTGCTTAAAGTTGCGATGAACCGCCTATTTAATAATAAACATATTTCTTTAAATTCAAAACCAGTGGCGTGGCAACCGCTGTATCAGCTGTATCAGTGATACAGGGCCCACTAACCTGAGGGGTCCACCGAGCAGTAAAAAAATATATACCTAATAATTTTATTGTTACCCTTCTTGATTTTAGTTTCATAATATTTTCTTGTTTTTATTTCTATGTTTGTTTCTTGTTGGGTTGTTGGAACGAAATTTATTTGCTTTCTGTAGGTATAATTTTACCAAAGACCATACGTTCCTTGTTTTAATATTTATGTTTATTGTTGGAAAGAATGTTCATTTTATTCCTGTAAGTAAAAGTTATTAATAAATAATAAGCTATTCTGATCAGACAGGTAATTTTTTTATTTTATTTACCCCCCCCCCCCTCCCACGGTTCTGTCTCAGGGGCCCCCTGCGAAATTCGTGATACAGTGCCTTTCAATGCTAGCTACGCTACTGTTCAAAACATTCATTTTTAAGACACTCTGTATCCATAAATAAAATTATTGATTTTTTAGTTATTTTTTATACAAGACGATAAAATGGTATTTTATCTTCTCCCGAAATTAATTCACTGGCGATTTCATCGCTCGAAGAGGAAGAGGAAGAGGAAGAGGAAGAGGAAGAGGAAGAGGAAGAGGAAGAGGAAGAGGAAGAGGAAGAGGAAGAGGAAGAGGAAGAGGAAGAGGAAGAGGAAGAGGAAGAGGAAGAGGAAGAGGAAGAGGAAGAGGAAGAGGAAGAGGAAGATAGTGGATAAAACTCTGCAGAGTGAGTCTTAAATAAGTGCAAATATTTTCAGGGGTGGTATATTTCGACCCCAGGAACACGTCTGTTCGTTTTTCTGCAAAAAAGATACTAAAAATCGAGCATTTTCTTTTAAATTTTCCTGTATATTTTAGAAAACTTTTTACAATTTTTTTTTTAAATAAATCTATTTTTTTAAATTTCCAAACTTTAATAACTCGATTGTACTTATTTGAAACTCGATAAAGATAATATATTATGTTTATTTTATTGAGATCTACCAGCCCTGAAAATATTTGCACTTATAGACTCACCTTGTATAATAAAAATTTTCAAACCGAACAAACAACAGATGATTATTAAAATTAGTGTCCCAGAGAAAGACATTTTACAAATTGGTGTTTATGTTAAAAAGCAACTGACGATTATACTGATGCAAATTGCTTAGTTAGTTATGGATCACTAAGTCATCTTACGTCACTTTAGTTAGAATATCCGATCGGGACCGGCCCACCGGCCCACTGGGAATTTTCCCGTTTTCCCATATGGCCCATTCACCCCTGGGCGAGTCCATTGAAAACAAAATTCAAGTAGCTAATAAAATAATGAAGTCTGTGGAGCCATCATCGTCCAACATTCCCTCAAAAATCCCTTTGCAGCCTTTGCCAAGGAATGACCCAGCGACCCAATCATATTCGTCCGAATATTCTCTGAATATTACAGAAAATTATGAAGATATAAGGGATATTCCAATAATTAATTTTAAGCACTGTTCCAAAGTTACCATTAATTATAACTTTAATAAGTAATTCAATTTTATTGTTATTTTAAAAATGTAAAAAATAGAAAACTTGTTTACCTGTTATTGTCATTAAATAATATTGTTGGAAATTTAAATAAATTTACTAACCTAACCTAAAACAATATTGTTTTCCATAGCGAGTTACGTTTTAAAAAATATTCAGAAATTATTATTTCAAGGAATTTATTACGAGTAGAAAAATTATTGTGCTAGGCTGGCGTTGGTTTCTATGTAATTTGACAAATATAAAGCTGTCTTTTTAGTTGTCAGTTTTGAGTCGATATTTTTTAATTCTCGTTCCTGTCGATTGCTGATTGAACTGGAGCCAGAAATGGCACAAATCGAAATAAGTAAATTACCAACAGATATTCAGGCTGAGGCGACAAACGCCATATCCAAACTACTTCCTTAAATCCCGAATAACTTATGAAAAGGAACACAAAAATTTTCAAAAATGGAAGCAATTAGAATCGTGCGAGATGAAATAAAGTTTTTAACCTATCCTCGCTGTTAAAGTATCATTTATTCTATCCTTTGCGGTTAAAGTATTATTTTATCTACTATTTTTGATAGATATAAGGCAATTTTAACAGTTGCTTTGGAAAAAAGTTAGAAATAACTTGAAAATTTGAATTAAAATTCTATTACTTACTAATGCACATTAAAATAATTGAAAGATCATTTTTAAAACTGAAAAATGAGATTATCTCTAGTACTAAATCCTCATAAAAGCGTTTCGGGTGTTTTGTGCAGTTCCAAAACGGTTTTCTGCCCGAAAACGAGAGTTTTTATTGGAGTTGGCACCGGCTCAGCTTTACATTATGTCGTTGCATCTCCGCTGGCTGCAGACTACGCGTCTCCAATCTTCCCGCTGCTGCTGCAGTCAAGTTCAGGGCTACGGAACTTTCTTTATTCTTTGTGTCGGACAAGCGGAACAGGGCGACATTTCCTTCACATTCTAATCGCATTTCCACGTCTTGTTTATTATGAAAAATATCTTGTCATCGTAAAGCGTTTAGTTTAGCGATGTTTACTCTTACTTAGCGTGTATTGTTCGAATTTTTAAAGTTCAGAGAAATTGGAAGACGAAGAGGATTCTTAACATACATAAATTACATTACTTTGTAGTCAAAAGCAACATCAATTATTAATCTGAAAAAAAATTGTTATATTGCTTTTATGTATATTATCTTTAGTTTCTTATTTACACAATTACTAGACAGACTAAACATATAGGGTCGTTGAGATGTACAGGAATGGTCGATTATTAAGTAAAATACAGGGTTGTTCACCACATACGACACGGAGTATTGTAGTAATATAAAAATATCAAATTTGTATTTTTTTTAAATAGAACAACCTGTATATTATTACATTTAGTTTCTACGATTAAAATAAAGGTAAATTTGATTAAGGTTTACCGCATTTTAATCTTACGGTTTTTGAAATATTTAGGTTTTTGCCAAAATACAGTAATAATTTTAATGCTTTATTTCTCTAGGCGTATTTAAATTTGTAAAACCAAATATTGTACTGAAGTATTTCTATTTTTTAAATTTTGTGTTGCAATAATAAAAAATATACTAACTTATACATAGTGTCTTTTTTTTAATAATTATTAGCTTTAAACGGCAATAACTTGTTTAATTTAAATGGAACGCCCTGTATATTTTATGAGATGCACAATTTAATTGTCTATCAAGTTGTATTATACCATCTCTTACCTATCTCTTCAAGTTTTCGTAGAAAATGCATTTTCTTATAATTTAGACCTCATTTTTATCAATATACAAATACATAGAATAGTGACGTCTTAGATTATTTTTAAAGATGTAACAAACTTTTGAAGAGTACAGATATTAATATTCTCGATATAGTTCGTTTATTTCATTAAAAAATTTAAAAAAGAACTGTTTAAATATTTGTTAAAGAGGACCAATTAATATGATTCCAGTATTCAAACTACATTAATTGACTGTTTCCGTGAATTAATGACAATTGCTCCAACGACTAAAAAAGTAAATTTGGTATGTATATTAGACAAAAAGTGGTAAAAAGTAACACCTTAAAAATTTTATTTAATTTTTTGACGAATGATTTGAAACGACCCTGTATGCAATCATAATGTAAATAAATACTATGTTTATTTAAGTCAAGTGAACTACCTAGAATAATAAAACAATATTTTTTATCACGTGTTACTCTAATTTTATTCGAATAGAAAAATTATAGTATTAGTTACATACTCCTTCAACTCCAAGTGGATGACGCCTGTGGAAAGTAGTAAGAAGTGCTAGATCCACTAGACACCTTGTACTGATGTTTTTAATTTATTGTATCTATATATCGAGGCATCGATGTTTCTTTTTATGATATCTGCATCCATAGTTGGGGTTATTTCACTTGTAGTTCCTTCAGTCGTTAAATGCACTTCAGTTGTAGTTGTTGTAGTTCCACCAGTCGTTGTAGATATTTCAGTTGCAGTTGTAGCTCCTTCGGTGGTTGTAGTTATTTCAGGTGTACTTGTTGTAGTTCCACCAGTGGTTGTAGATATTTCAGTTGCAGTTGTAGCTCCTTCGGTAGTTGTAGTAATTTCAGGTGTACTTGTTGTAGTTCCACCAGTCGTTGTAGATATTTCAGTTGCAGTTGTAGCTCCTTCGGTAGTTGTAGTAATTTCAGGTGTACTTGTTGTAGTTCCACCAGTCGTTGTAGATATTTCAGTTGCAGTTGTAGCTCCTTCGGTAGTTATAGTTGTTCGGTAGTTATAGTAGTTAAAATTTAGAAAAGATCTAGTAGTTCTCAAAATTTTGGTAAAAAGTCATTTTTTTGGAAATTTTAAAGTAAAATAACTCCGTTATTTTTGACTTATTTGAAAAAACGATGAAGAGAAAATATGTTTCTTTTATCGAGATCTACCAGCCCTTAAAATACTTGCACTTATTTCTGGGATAATTAATTTGAATCGATTTCTGATATGTAATTGAAAAAATTACAAACTGATGATGGCAAGTTCATTTCGCTCTTAAAAATTAACCAAAGTATGTGTTGACATCTTCCCCTAGGAGATGCAAGACCTTGTCGTTGGTGGGGAAGCTTCTGGTCAGGTGCTGTGGGGAATCCCCCCTAACACTTGGCTTGGTCTAAGAAGTATCTCACTCATCGTCTTGTCCCTGACTGTAGTGTCGTGGCCAGGGAATTGCACCAAGACATATAACAATACCGGGCGGGACTACGGACAGCCTCAACCTTGGGGCATCGGGGGGCACCCCATTGTATTTTACCCCTTACTTCTACATGCGGGGCTCTGTAGAAGTGGACCGACTGTCCCTAGCGACTCACGGGAACACTATGAGATCTGGTAATAATAGTAATATAAACATCACCGGTGAAGCTGTGGAGAAACCCCCTAGCAACACTGGGAACAGTAACAATGAAAGTTCCAAGGGGCGAAACCCAAAGAGAACTACAGGATAGGTGGCTGACACTTGCGTGAGACCATCCTCCGCAAGTGGCATACAAGTTACCACCTCCTCCAAGGGTCGGGAGCCTACCTCCTACTTCTAAACCCAACAGGCGACACACAAGCTACCGTTTCGTCTACCCGGCCGCGATTTTACTAAATATATACTATTACAGCACAAGACACGCCCCCAAATACGTCATTGGAAAATATAATCTAGCTTAGCACATTCCTCCAAAATCTAAACGTTTGCAGCACAACAACGTGGCTGAGTCATACAAATCGGTTGAAATGGAATAAATTGAATTTTAATAGATACTCTTTTAATTGGAGCTATATCTAATATCTGCAAAATAAAACAGCACAAAGCAACACACAGCAACATCTAATGAATTTTGGAATTAGGAAGATTAGACATGATATTAAGGGACAGGTTGTGTTTTCTTTTTCTGGAAGGGCGCCCACTTTGAATTCTCTGTCCCCCCATTTTAGCATTTTGTATCTTTCTTCTACTGCGTGCTGTAGGCTGGACTTTTATTAATTTTGGAATGAATCCAACTGACTACCTCTGTTAATTGCTCTTAGGCTTCCAACTCTCATGTTTTGCTAAATCTGCAATACGCCTAAACTCCCTTTTCAGACTTTCCACTACATTTTTATGTTTTTCTCTACCTAAAACAAAAAATATTAAGCAAATAACAATATTATAACTTTTAGATTAACTTACAAGGTTTACTTTCAATATTTTCAACATCAGTTATAGAATCCGATTGGGTTTGATTACTTGCGTTTAAAGTGGTATTGCATTCCCCAAATGCAACCGAATCGTCATTTTCGATCATGTTTTTAACAAATGAACAGTTTTTTTACCAGTGGCTAGATAAACAATTATTTGTCGGTCATTTTCCGTTAACTGGGGACTCGATAAAATATTGATGCTAAACGAATTTTCTACAGCACATAAATGTTTGCAAAAGGCCCCTCCTGTTCCACTAGCGCAATTGCATAAGGCGGAATTTGTTAGAACAGTATAATGCATATTTTTGTCTTCAGCTGAAGAAACTAAAAAAGTTTCATTATCTATTTTCTTAACTGTTAGATTTCTAATTTTATCTTTAAATTTTAAGTAGTTTAAATTAATTTTCGTTTTTCTGTTGCTAGCAAATGATATCAGACGTCTTTTATGGTAACATTCCAGAATATTGGTTATAAAATCTAATGCCACAGCATTAAAGGATTTACATCTTTCCAGTATAATATCTTTCGGTACTCTGGTAGATGCTTCAACAAAGTTGTTTGTGTTGTGTCCTTTAGTACACAATGATTTTCTATAAAATTGACACCACTCGTTCCTTCTTTCCCACAAATTTTTAAGATAGTTGATAAAATTTGGGTATTTGCATTTTTCACATAAGGTACCAAATAATTCCTCTGCTTCTTCTTCACTTTGTGCATAAAGTATATAACGGAATTCCATCATAAGTTTTTTTCTCTCTTTAATATGATGATTTTTTGCATCCCACAACCATCTCCACACAGCCTGACACACGTGAAATGAACATAAAATTAAATTTTCCAACGACGTATTGTTGTGCTGCAAACGTTTAGATTTTGGAGGAATGTGTTGAGATAGATTATATTTTCCAATGACGTATTTGGGGGCGTGTCTTGTGCTGTAATAGTATATATTTAGTAAAATCGCTACCCGGCCTGGGTCGTAGCTCCTCGACTGTGAAGGACACGGGTCTCCGTAGGAAGTCCTGGGACTGTATGATGAGTTATAACTCAAGAAAGGGGGACACAATAGATCTCTAAGGTCGCAGAGATTAACCCCCCTCCCACTTATTCTAAATTCTCTAAATTCTAATGTGTTGACATGAATCAAAAAACAAAATGCTCAGGCTCAGGATTCATGTTTCTAACCGTAAAATGATGTTTTCGAAAAATTTACACACGAAATTATTGCCCAGGGTGTTTTAAAGTTAAGGTCAAAAAACAATCCCTCGATTAACCCTGTATAATATGCGAAATGCTACAGTTTATAAAAAAACTGAGTTTAGGAATTAAAGTTGATATATTTACAGTATTTTATATGTACAGTTTGCTAAAAAATTATGAAAATAGGACTAAAAATAAAAAAAAAACACTTATTATTTTTTTATACATATATTTTTTTTATGATTATACAGTATTTTTAATTTTTATATGTATATTTTATACGTTGAACAGAACAAATTGATTACAATAGTAGAGAGGTTTATAAACATCTTCATCCCCAGCACTCGAACGAATGGATTTATTAAGTCTCGACAATTCTTTTCTGTAAACAATTCTCATAATTATTTTTCTACAAGACGATAAAATGGTATTTTAAAAAGATTAATTCACGAGCGATGAAATCGCGAGTGAATTAATTTCGGTAGACGATAATGCAATTTTATTGTCGTGTATAAAACAATATTTTTTCCATAGCGAGTTACGTTTTAAAAAATATTCAGAAATTATTATTATTATTATTTCAAGGAATTTATTACAACAAAAATATTGTGCAGGGTTGGCGTTGGTTTCTATCTAATTTGACAAATAAATAAAACTGACTTTTTAGTTGTCAGTTTTGAGTCAATATTTTTTAATTCTATTTCGTGTCGATTGCTGATTGAATTAGAGTCAGAAATGGCTCAAAACGAAATCAGTAAATTACCAACAGATATTCAGGCTGAGGTGGCAAACGCCATATCCAAACTACTTCCATTTAAATCCCGAATAACTTATGAAAAGGAATACAAAAATTTTCAAAAATGAAAGCAATTAAAGAACGTGCGAGAAGAAATAAAGTTTTTAACCTATCCTCGCTGTTAAAGTTTCATTTAATCTACACTTGCGGTTAAAGTAGTATTTTATCTACTATTTTTAATAGATATAAGGCAATTTTAATAGTTGCTATGAAAAAAATAATCTGTATTACTAGTCGCTTCAGGGTCTACCTCCCTGAATTTTTCAATAATAGTCTCGTAGGCCTGATTTTTCTTTTTCCGGTTAATGTATTCTTTTGATTTTACTCGCCAGAAACAAGGAACACTCTTGTACACAAACATTTGCGTAGGTCAGACGTTATTTGTATTTGATTAGATTACTAAAATTAAAATAAAACCACAAACAAATCTTTGTGAGCGTCCCCACGACTTCTCTAAGAAGCTCAAACTTTTAATTCAGTCTTCTAAAATTTGTTCAAACTTGCTGTCCATACTACATCTGGACCACGGTTTAGTTAGAGTACGAATTTTTATACAAAAAAAAATTCAACATTTTTCGTATTTTTATATTCTAGTTTTTATTCGAACACATAAATTATGGTATTGGTCACATATTCCTTCAGCTCCAAGTAGAGGATGCCTGTGGGAAGAAGCAGAGTGCTACATCCGCTGGACAGCTTCCATTGATGTGTGTCATGTTTCTGCTGGAACTGTGACAGGAATATCGGTAGAGCTGTGGTAAAGTTGTGCGTTTCTTGTAGAGTCACTTGCAGGATACCAACTGCATCATACTCGTAGTCAGTGCTTGGTACGTTCGAATTCACCACTGATACCTAGTGTTAAAAAAAATAATTAAGCTTTATTCAGAACATCAAATTTAGTGAAATAAATTAGTGGTTTCAATTATACAGGGTGGCGCCTCTCATACGCCGCGGAAGCTCCAAGGAGAATGGTAGTCTATATCGAAATTAAATTTGCGCAGCATATGTAGGTTAACTGAAAGCATTTTACTGAAATCATTTAAAATATATAGAATTATACATTATACAGGGTGTCCCCAAAAAAGTTACACATCAAAGTTGTGTTTTTTCTAATAATTTAATTTTCTAATAAATTAATAATAGGGGTAGTTTATTTCAACCCCTTCCACTCATTTTAACAAGTGAAAAATTACCAGTGTTCCGTTTAAAATAACAGTAAGCTTCCATAAAAAGTAGTCTAATCTTTAACATTCAAGATTAAATATCAAACGGTAATTTTTCCGCCATCTGTGTACCGAAATTTCCCCCTAATGGTTGACTCTTCGTTTTGTAGAAGCAAACTAAAATCAATTGATATAAGGAATTATCTTTTGAAACAAACCGTATTCTCTGTTATCTCATTTCAATACAAACCGTAGGTATGTATTGAACTGTAGGCATAATTTGTATTGCTTGATTATGTGATACAAAACTTTCAATAAAAATTATAGCCTCGATAAGCATTTTAAGCAAAACTAAATAATTTATATTACTGAAAAATACCAAGTAATATCCAGGAGTTGTAGATGGAGATGGAGTTGTAGCAGGATCTGTACGTGAACTTGAAGTTATTTCTTTAACTAGATTTGCTTCCTAAAAAAACAAAGAACAAGAAGTATTATTTTTTTTTAATTTCTTGTCAAAAATCCTTATTCCAACAATTACTATTAAAACTCCAACCACTAGACGTAGAATTTTTTGGGCTTATTCTACACTAGATTAGTATAGAGTAGATCTTAATTTTTGTATTAACCGAGTTATAGTATAGTACTTCTAGTACTCACCTCTTGAGCAAAGGAAGACCAAACAAAGAGTAAATTCAACAAAATAACCACCTTCATTTTTGAAAACGTATTGTACACAACTGACATTGATAAAAAAAATAATACCTGCTTTATATATAGTACTCGATTTTTTCTAATCTTATGTCAACACTATTTTTAAATTAAAGTGTTTTCATGAAAAATCACCAGACTATTTTGCCTGATTGATCTTGAGAAAATAGATCAATAAGGAATTATAAGAAAATGCTATACGTATTTAATTTCTGTTTAAGTACTCAAAAGTCACTTAAACTATTGATAAGATTGATAACCTAGAAGGTATAAATCAAACCAGCATCACTTTTATATATATATATTTTTTTATTATTATACAGTATTTACAGTTTTTATATGTATATTTTATATGTTGAGCAGAGTAAATTGATTGATATAGTTGGTAGGCTTTGAATAGTTTTAAATGAACGATTATCTTCAGATTTCAATCTTCTAACAAATAAAACTATTTTTAGCACATATATCATAACCAAAACACCATTTTTCTTCTACAAGGGTCAGTAAATGTCTAAAAAATGCTTTTTAACATTAAACAATTGTTCAAATGACTCTAAAAAAGGACTTTTTAAAAATGTCTTACTTTTAAAAATGTCTTAAAATGTCTTACTTTTAAGACTTGTGTTAAAAATGTCTTACTTTTAATATATTTTTTAAATGTCTTACTTTTAATACTTATGTTAAAAGTAAGATATTTTATTTTAAATCATTTTTAAAATAAGAGACTTCTAACACAAGTGTTAAAAGTAAGGCGTTTAAAAGAAGTGTTAAAAGTAAGACACATTTAACACAAATATTAAAACTGAGACTTTAACACAAGTGTTAAAAATAAGACACTTTTAAAACAATTATTAAAAGTAAGATTATTTTGTGTTAAAAGTCTTTTACTTTTAAAAATATCTTACTTTTAACACAAGTATTAAAAGTAAAACATTTTTAACACCAGTCTTAAAAGTAAGACATTTTAAGACATTTTTAAAAGTAAGATATTTCAAGACATTTTTAAAAGTAAGATAACTTTTAATACAAGTGTTAAAAATAAGGCACTTAAAAGAAGTGTTAAAAGTAAGACACATTTAACACAAGTTTTAAAAGTAAGGCTTTAACACAAGTGTTAAAAGTAAGACATTTTTAAAACAATTATTAAAAGTAAGACGTTTTTAAGACATTTTTAAAAGTAAGAGACTTTTAACAGAAGAGTTAAAAGTAAGACATTTTTCAAGCCAGTTTTAAAAGTAAGAAAGTTTAACTCAAGCGTTAAAAGTATACTACTTTCACATATATTTCATAAAATTACATTTTAGACACTGGCAATATACCCACGTTTAAAAAATAATAATTTTACTGACATTTGTACAAAAAATAGTATTTTTTATAAAACAACCAACTAATTCAACCATTCTAACATATTTATTTCTTCGTTATAATATCAAAAATAAACAATATATTGCACATTCACATTCCTTAAACCTACTATTTACATACATCATTGCACATTGAATGGTAACTGTTATGTTAAATTGAAACAAAAAAAAATAATATCCTTTCAGACGTTTCAGCTCATCTGTCCCACCATCATCAGTCGTTCGGTGGACCTTCTCAAGGCCGAAGGACCATTATGGAACAGTCCAGATGGTCCAGGAGGTGGGTTCTGGCTAATTCCCTGGATCTGGCGCAGTCCACCGGCATCTACGATGTCTTCGGAGATGGACCTGTTCCTAGAACGACGGTTGTGGTGGTTGTTGGTACCACCACCGGGTCCCAGACTGATGTGGTGGTGCATGGCAGGTGTGGGATCCCTTAGTTTCCTGCTGTGAGGAATTGACTGCAAGGAATCCTCATAACTGCTGGAAAAAAATACACTGAGTTTAGAAAATAAATACGTTTAAAATAGGAGACAGTTAGAACCATAGACTTAAAATAAAATATAGACTGAGCATCTCATTCATAAATAGCTGGAACATACGGTCAGACACTGTCTTGTTATTGTTGTGTTATTGTTTTAGGTTATAACGAGTGCGACACGAGCGATAGATAGGTTGTCTCTGTCGTAACGGTCGTTCCCTGACGACTCTGCCGAGAAACACAACACTGTCTTTCGTTTCTCAAGTACACCTGAACTCTCCGTATCATAGCCGGGTAATTTTTTTATTTTAATGAAGCTATAATTAAATTAAAAATATATCGTATTTCAACTTTTTTATATTTTACTAAGATTTAGGAGAGGTTTTTTAAATAAAAGTTTAGAAAAAACGTCTTAGAGTCCAAAAAGGATAAAAATAATAAAATACACGTTATAGAAGAAATTTTATAATCGAAATTACGTAATTTTTGAAATTAATAATAAATTATTAATTTTAGTCAAACATTTACAACCCCTAATATTAATCAAAACAGGATCTATTCCACAGATATAATAGAATCGGCGACAGAGAGAGAAAAAAAAATATGATTGTTGTAATTTTTTTTCTGGTTAAGTGATGTCTTATTATGTAAAATAGAGAAAACATAAATCTGTTCCATTAAAGCAAGGAAGGTGATAGGAAGGGGATAAAATGAAAACTACATTTATTTAACTCGGTACTGTCTTTATTATACCGGGTGCGTCCCAAAAGTGGCTCAACCCCATAATTTTTTTATATTTTCAAATAAAAAAACAAGATTTAGTATGTTAGTATATGACATAAATTAGGATTGATTGACGCATTCAATTGTTTTTGGTCACTTTCTGTTTCACCGGAAATGACTATAACTTTTAATTTTTAAACGGCACCCTCGGTATATTTCTACTTTATTTGATAGAAAATGACACTCTGAATAGAATGACATATCATATGTCAACTTTTGACACTTTCGCATATGGTTTAATTGTAATTGTAACACGTGGTTCATAACGACAATTTGACTCGAAATACCAAGTGTGTGGTATCAATATATTCATAAAAAAATGCTTTTTCCAAATATGCTAACGAGTCACCCTTGTTCCATTTGAAAAAATTGACATATGTATGATTAAAAATATGATTTGTACATCTTTTAATCGGCCTAGACAAGACACGAAACCCATTAGACGATCAAAACTATTTTTCCAAGGCTCCTTGATTAAAACTTAGTGTTTTTAACAACACCATGGCACCCTGGATTGAAATTTATAATACGATTTGTTTTTAAGCGACAATGTCAAAAGTTGACATATGATATGTCATTCTATTCAGAATTCTATTATCATTTTCTATCGAATAAAGTAGAAATATACCGAGGGTGCCTTTAAAAATCAAAAGATGTAATCATTTCGGTGAAACAGAAAGAGACCAAAAACAATTGAATACGTCAATAAATCCTAATTTATGTCATATACCTACTAACATACAAATCTGTTTTTTTATCTGAAAAAATAAAAAAGTTATAGCGGTGAACCACTTTTGAGACGACCCGGTATATTAAAAAATATTGTCTCATAATGTAATATCATATTAAAATTCTTGTATGTTATTTTAGATTCTGAAGATAATTTTAGAATAAACCGGAATATATTTTTAATAAAAACATTATTAATTATTAACAGGGTTATAATTATGATTTTGTTACAATGTAAGTAAGTAAATAATGTAATATAAGAGAAAAAATTCAGATTTTACATTTTACTAAAATATTATCTAAATAAGCGCCTTTCTACAACAACGCCACTGACTCCCAATGGGTAAATTGAGAGTTGCCTACGGTCAAAAAGTCGTTTCAAGACTTAAATGGATTATTTAAGTCAAATTTCTTGCAAATTTGGCACTGGCGAACCATATTTTATAGTTCTTGAACAGAAAAAGTCAATAAAATAAACATTTAAGCATTACAAGCTAAGAAAATGCGTTAATACAGCCGGGGAGATAGCGGCAACAAAGCTTTACCGCACAGATGCGACACGTACTACAAGGTAATAAATGAATGAATAGGCTCCCTCGCCTCTAATCGGTGTTGTCATATTGTAAAGAACTTATCCTTTTTAAACAGTATCCGACTTATAATTTAGTAGTATAAGGACTATTTAATACATCTCTGGAATATTAAAACTTACTTTATTAAACTGTAGTATTAATATCTCAATATATGTGTATAACAAGAAAAAAAATGTTGATAATATTAAAGACGTGACAACATAGGCTGGATGAGGAAGGCTCGGTCGACTGTACCCAGAAGTAAACATGTGTACAAAAAATATATTCTGTCCGCGTTGAGATGTAAATAGTGTAGTCTATATTTTATTTTAAGTCTATGGTTAGAACAAGTTAAGAGGGATTTTTTTTATTTATGTCACGGACAAGATGTAAAACCGGCCTGGTCAATATACAGCGTGGTCAGAATTATATTCGGGAAACATATTCTGCAAATAAAAGTAAGCGTTTCGTTTTAGAGATACTGGGAGTAAAAGTTCCATTTTTATTTATTAGCTGTAGACCCAGAGCACAGTTTATAGTTAATATTCGGTGCCCAGAGAGATAGAGAGAGTTTTATCCATTTTATATATTAATTAATTTACCATCAGTAAAGTTTGTATATCATTTCGTATAAACGGTACTAAAAAGAGGAGTATCTGTAAAACAACGATATCACACGATAGGTAAATAATAGATTTTAGTACTGCAGAAACATAATGGTCAAAAGGTACTGGTTTAAAAAATTAAGATTAAAGTTAATTAATCAACTTTTAAGGTATAAAATTCAGTAAGTGTTATTATTAATAAAATATTTTGTTTTATTTATTCCTGTGCACTATTAAAATGTTATTATTTGTATGTACAGGGTGTCCCACTAAGAATAGCTCTCGGCTGTATCTCGGAAAGTACTAGCCGTAGGGGCTGCGGAAAAAAATATTTATAACTAAAGAGGCTATGAGAAATTGCTGGAAATTATTTTCAAGTTCGTAGAACGACCGCTAGGGGGCGCAACTGCAACAAAAAATAAGAAAATCGAGTTTTTACAGAATTTTGTCTAGATAATGTGTACTATAAGTAATAGCTTCATAATCTTCAGTAAATTTTGAATATTTTTTGTTTGAGCCATCTACCAAAATAAAGTGGTGGGGGAAGGTTAGATCTGTTTTTATTTAAATATTAATAACTCTGGACTGGATCATCGGAATCCAACAGGCAAGGGCTCGTTTAAAAGAGCGTTTCTTACTCTATATTATACCATATAAACAATAATAATAAGCTTTTGAACATAGACACTAGGGGGCGTTGTCTTACAATTTAACTAACATTGCGCGTTTTTTCAAAAAAAAATAAATGCAATAGTATATGTAATTTTAGCTGATAGGAAAGAGTAGAAAAAGCTTAAAAAGTCAGCGAAAACCGCATCTTGATATATTCTTTCAAACCGAAGATATTAGCAGAATTATAATAAATACCAAAAAATAAGCCCTTAATTACCTTTTTTTACAATAGTACACAATACAAATCAGTAGCCCGCTTGATTATGCCCATTCTAACAAAAAATAAAATAAAAACAGTTAGTTTATTTTAAAATCGACGAAAGACCAGAATACCATAATACCAGATGTATTAATATCTAATAATAAAGATATTAATAAAAGTGAACAAGAAACGATGATTCAGTGAAGTCATGGTAGGCTTTGGAAAAAAGTTGCTTTTGACGTAATAGTATAAACGTCAAATTGTTATTAGATCAACATTTTGATAGCCTTAGCAGCGTTTTTTATTGTTTTTATTATTTGAAGTAGTTGAAGTTGTTGGCATTTTGAAAAAGCAATCGAAAGATAAAAGACTATCAAAATGTTGATCTAGTAACAATTTAACATTTATACTATTACGTCAAAAGCAACTTTTTTCCAAAGCCTACCATGACTTCACTGAATCATCGTTTCTTGGCCACTGTTATTAATATCTTAATTATTAAATATTAATACCTCTGGTATTATGGTATTTTGGTATTTCGTCGATTTTAAAATAAACTAACTGTTTCTATCTTAGTTTTAGTTAGAATGGGCATAATCAAGAGGGCTACTGATACCGTGTTGTAAAAATAAGGTAATTAAAGGCTTATTTTTTGGTATTTATTATAATTTTGCTAATATCTTCGGTTTGAAAGAAGATATCAAGATGCGGTTTTCGCTAACTTTTTAAGCTTTTTCTACTCTTTCCGATCAGCTAAAATTACATATACTATTGTATTTAATTTTTTTGAAAAAACGCGCAATGTTTGTTAAATTGTAAGACAACGCCCCCTAGCGTCTACGTTCAAAAGCTTATTATTACTGTTGATACGGTGTAATATAGAGTAAGAAAAGGCCTTTTAAACGAGTCCTCGCTAGTTGGATTCCGATCATCCAGTCCAGAGTTATTAATGTTTAAATAAAAACAGATCTAACCTTCCCCCACCACTTTATTTTGGTAGATAGGGGAAAATGGCTCTAACAAAAAATATTCAAAATTTACTGAAGATTAAGAAGCTATTACTTATAGTACACCTTATCTAGGCAAAATTGTGTAAAAACTCCATTTCATAATTTTTTGTTGCAGTTGCGCCCCCTAACGGTCGTTCTACAAACTTGAAAATAATTTCCAGCAATTTCTTATAGCCTCTTTAGTTTTAAATATTTTTTTTCCGCAGCCCCTACGGCTAATACTTTCCGAGATACAGCCGAGAGCTGTTCTTAGTGGGACACCCTGTACATAAATTATATTGATAAATAATAATAAAGTCAGGAAGTTTCTTGAAGCTTGAAAGTAAGAAATAGTTACTTTTTATATTTTTTTAGTATGTGGTGTTTTGTTTAAAATACACCCTTGTTTGTTTTGTATTGACATAGACTGTGTTTTTTCTAAATAAAATAACTGGATTAGATTTTTTCAGTTTTATACAGTCTTTTTCATAATATTTTGAAGTAATCACTTGTCTCTAAAATTTTAAATACAGGGTGATTCGAATTGTATTCCGGAAACTTTGGCAGCGTATATTCTGCAGATAAAAATAAGTAAAAAAGTTCTTATAAATATATGTCTAAAATCCTTGGTTACGGAGATACAGGGTGTAGAAGTTTCAATTTATATTTCGTTTTTTTCCAAATAATTTTTGAAGTAACGTCAATATTTGGATGAAAATTGGTATCTGGGAGTTTTTTGATATGAGAAATTTGATATTGATGTCAATATGACTCCTACTTGTAGAGGACGCCACCTACATATTTTTTAACTAGTTTGACGAGTAATAACTTTTCGTTCGTACCTGTATAAAACTATTGAATAAAAAATATATATTTAGGACGTTTTTTACGTAAAAAAGGTCTCTTGAGTCATATTGACATCAAAATCAGTTTCTCATGTCAAAAAAACTCCCAGATACCAATTTGCATCCAAATATTGACGTTACTTCACAAATTATTAGGAAAAAAACGAAATAAAACTAAAACTTCAATACCCTGTATCTCCGAAACTAAGCATTTTAGAACAAACGATTATATAAACTTTTTTACTTATTTTTTTCGGCTGAATATAATATACCCCGTATATTAATTTTCTGCTATGCGTTACAATTGTTCCAACTTATTTCTGCGTAAAACAAAATAAACTACTTTGAAATTAAAATAATAGACACATCGATCACTGTCAAGGACTTTGTCGTTGGACACACTATACATGGCAGTTCCTATAATATGTCCTGAGCCGATACACAACCCGGTATAAGTTAATATTGTTAGCATTATCCTAATTTAAAACCATAGAGGAGAAAATATCTATACCAAGAGCTTACTTGGTGCTCCCCTCTGAGCTCCTACTGCTGCTATGGCCACAATGACAAGGATGCACAATGGTCGCGTCCGCAATTCCAGAATCATGCCCACTGGAATGCAGACTCGTGATCGACTTTTCCAGACCCACAGAGCTACGAGAATGACCTCTATAACCACTGGGTCTAGTTCCGTACCTCGGACACGAGATGTCGTGATGGTGACTCCTTTGACCAGTATGGTACCCCATATTCATGTCGACTGATCCGACGTCTGGATATGGAACCGGCGTACCGTATCCAGGAGGGTATAGACCTGTCTTTGATGAAGCTAGAGCGTAACCAAGGGTGGAGGAATAGCTTTCTAGGCTTCTACGTTTTTTTCTTCGGCTACAAGCCACGCAAATGGCTGTTATGAGAGCTCCAAGGAAGACAATACAGCCTAAGATTATAACTCCTATTTCTAAGGATGATAGAATCAATTTTGGTGTTCTGGTATATGGTCTGTCAGGGATAATAGTGTTTCCACTGGATAGTGATAAAACTTTTGAACCATCTAGTCTGTGCTCTATTTCTTGTTGTTTGACTGACAGAATTCTGAAAATAATATTATTATTTACTTCTTTAAGTAAAAAGTTTTTGGAAAAAAAAGACTTACTTTTCAAGTTGTGTCATGTCGATGACAGTGTTCAGTGATGGGTCCACAGCGTACAAGTACATGTCAGTTCTGTGAAACAGATTGTTATTTAATTTTATAGTGAATAAAAAAGATATTCATGGCAATAAATAAAAATAATGGTACTTACGCTGTACTATCAATTTGGTTACGTTCGTTGTGCGGTTCCAGCTTTCTGACTCTTATGTCGTACCCTGTAGCATTGAATAAGGCCCTGCAATTAATTTTAACAGATTTTTAAATAAAAATCTGGGGTGTCCCAGAAATAAGTACAGATATTTTAACTGGTAATTATTTCGACTCCAGAAACACGCCTATGCTGTGAAGTTTTTTTCGCGAAAAAAAACTAAGCAAATTTGAAATTCTTTGAAAAAAAATCGAGATATACCACTCCTTAAAATATCTGTACTTATTTCTGGAACACCCTGTATTAAGCAATTTTTTTCTGACAAAAAATAGTGCAAAAGTGAAGAAGCATACGATTTCACTGAATATCACATAGATTTGTTGGTACCAACAGTACCAACATGTCTATTGGTGTTATATAATAATAATAATAATAGCTCCCGTATATAGCGTTTAATGCCTTGGGAGTAGCAAGGTACAGCTTGCCATGCTAGAGCCGTTCGGTATACAAGGAAGATAATGTGGCTAGCACTACGCTTCAACCGCCTATTATTACCTCAGGATTGTGAATCCCAAGTACTCATTTAAGGCTGAGTCGACCTAGGTACCCAAACTATTTTTATTTTTAATAAAAATAGTCTGCTGATGAAATGCCAGGTGTAGGATTCGAACCCACTACCTTGAGATTGGTAGACGAGAGCCTGTACCTCTACGCCACCGAGCAGCTTTGGTGTTATATACTTACATAGTAATGTTGTTCATGTTACTTTCGACATCAGTAGGTTTCATTCCCATCACCATTATAAGTTGTTTCTGTTCATCCAAGACGTAAACCTATCGAAAAATAATTTAATATTAATTTTATTTTAATAATATCACTTATACTAAAGAAAAAATATTTGAAAATTATTACAAAATGAAACAAAAACAAAAATAAATTAATATGACCTGAATTAGACTTAAAAGGACTCAAAACAAAGTTGGTTGTAATGGAAACACCCCTCTTAAAAGTCGGGAGCATATTTCAAGGCGAAAATCACTTAGAACTTTGCCAACTCCACTACACTCCCTCAAACTCTAGCAACTTACTGAGCTTTATGGCCTCCCAAGTTTTTATTCGGAAGTTTTGAGGGCGCTTGACAAAAGAGACCAAACCAAAAACTAACTTATAACCCTTTGCCTTGTACAAAAAATGGGTGTTGAAATATTGATATGCGGTGTATGAATGTATATACTGAGTGATTGAATGAAAAATATGTGGTAGTAGGTATAAAAAACTATTTTTTTCAAACGTCATAAAAGTATTAATTTTTGCGATTATCGATCACGTGGTATTTTATCGCCGACCGAAAAGATTTTGGGAGACGATAATGCTATTTTATCGTCGTGTAAATAAATAATCAGGCTGAGGCGACAAACGCCATATCCAAACTACTTCCATTTAAATCCCGAATAACTTATGAAAAGGAATACAAACATTTTCAAAAATGGAAGCAATTAAAAAACGTGCGAGAAGAAATAAAGTATTATTTTATCTACTATTTTTGATAGATATAAGTCATAATATTTATGATGCTTGAAAAAAATAGCATGTTCAATTCGGAGTAAAAATGACTTTTTGTGCCTCGCTTGTAAAATGTCAAAAAGCATCATTTTTATTCAAAATAAAACAATATACTATTATTTAAATATGCTAGCTGACATATTATATGCCAGATTTTTGTATAGGTATTATTACACCATGCAGGATGGTTTAATAAAGTAGGTAATGAATTTAAAAACTACTTTATGATCAAGATGTCTCTTTTCTCGACAATTCATCTTTTGATTCCTCCGAATAGTTTTACTTTTATTGGAGATTTTCGCTTTTAAAGAAGACCTAACACAATACCAATTTTAGCATGGAAATATGCCTTTGTTTTGGTGCTCATCAACACACTTATGAAATAATGCTTATTGTTTTTGAATGGTTTCTAATAAAAAAAATAGATAATAAATGTCTTACCAAAACATTAGCTATGGAACTATGTCCATCATCAGCCCCTCGTCTATCAGTAGCTTTAACATCAAACCCAAATACTTTTCCAGCATCATTTAAGAACGATGCAATAGCTCTAACCTGTCCGGAAGAAGAATCTATGGTAAATCTTCTGTTTGCATCATCGGATCTACTTAAAATCTGATAACGAACTTCCCCATTTAATCCCAAATCCGGATCCGCAGCCTGTTTGTGTAAAATAGTAACATTGTAAGTCAAAAAATAAACTGATTAGTCATATATTAACTTACATGCAATTTGAGGACGTCATATCCATAAGCTGCTGTTGTTGGAATAGCTGCAACTATTGGTCTTCCCATAACGCTGAATTTGGGAACATTGTCATTTTTATCAGTGATCCTTACTATTACTTTAACTTCATTTAAACCTTGATAAACAAAATAACATTTTATCACCCTCAAATTCACCACTAAATCATCAAAAACCTACCCAAATTGCCTAGTCTGTCATTGGTAACGGGATACACCACAACAGCCATATCTCTACCAACTTTAAACTGATCCAGACGTACTACCAGTTCATACAACGCTTTTTCCTCTCTGTCTGGACTTCTTAGAAGTAAAATACTTCCATTCTTTGAATCTATAGAGAACATACCATCTCCATCATCACCCACCAGACTGTAACGAAGTTGGTGAGATCTATATGATTCTGTGACGTTAAGGGTTAGGAGTTGAAGAGGTACATCAGAGTTTTCTTCTACTTCTATTTCGTAGTAGCGATGAGCGAATACTGGACTGTCAGTTGTCTGGACGTCTTCTGGGACATCTATGACTGACACTAGAAAAAAAAATGAACTTAGTTATACATATAATAAAAAGAACTGTAAGAATGTTACCCATTAATAAGGCTGTAGCACTGAGACTTGGTGAGCCCAGATCTGAGGCAACTATGGTCACATTGTGGCTTTTTTGAGTTTCGTAGTCAAGTTTTCCGATGGTTGTGATGATCCCTTCTTTGGAGTCTACCGAAAATAGGTTTAGACGTCCTTTTTGGAAGGGAATGTCAAAAAGAATGAGTCCATTTCCATTCCCGCTGAAGTCGGAATCGTTTGCGAATACCCTGGTGATTGGAGTACCTAAAAATATAATATTTTTGAGATCCTGATTAATATATTATCGGAAAGTGTATTAAGATATTTCTAAAATGAATATACAGGGTTGTTTACCACATACGACACGGAGTACTGTAGCTAAACGATGACATTTTTACAAATTGTAAGTTTTGGGTTCGATGAAAGACTATTAGAGGTACAATTTAAAAATAATTTTACAAGATACAGAGTGTCCCAAATAAGTAAAAAATATCAAAGTTGTATTTTTTTAAATAGAACACCCTGTATATTATTATATTTTTACATTCTACGATTAAAATAAAGGTAAATTTGATTAAGGTTTATTACACTTAAACCTTACCGTTTTTTAAATATTTTCAATTTTGTGAAATTGCAGCAAAAATTTTAAAGCTTTATTTCTCCAAGGGTATCAAAGTTTTTAATACTAAATATTTACTGAAGTTTATTTATTGATCAGTTATTGTGTCGCAGTAATAAAAATAATGCTACCTTATACAGAGTGTCTAAAAATTTATTTTAAATAATTTCTAGCTTTAAATGCCAATAACTTCTTTAATTTAAATGGAATGCCCTGTATATTTTAGGAGAATCAGATGCACAATTTAATTGTCTCTCAAATTGTATTATACCATTTTTTACTTATCTCTTTAAGTTTCCGTAGAAAATGCATTTTCTTGTAATTTAGAATTTATTTATCAATATACCCATGGAATATTGACATTTTAGATTATTTTTAAAGATGTACCGAATTTTTAAAGAGTGCAGATACTAATATTGTCGATATAGTTTGTTTATTTCATTAAAAAATAAAAAAATAAAACTATTTAAATATTTGTTAAAGAAGACCAATTAATATGATTCCAGTATTCAAACTACATTAACTGACTGTTTGCGTTGATTAATAATAATTGCCCCAAATACTCAAAAACTGAGTTTTGTATGTGTATTAGACAGTGTGGTAAAAAGTAACACCTTAAAAATGATATTTCATTTTTTAATAAATGCTTATTTATAACAACACAGACGTTCATTTTTATAACTTATTATTATATTGATTTCTGACTCAAATCCACATTTATTTAGAATAATTTATTATCGAACACAATTAAGTATGTAATTAATTAGTATATGGGCGGAAATAATGGTGTTGTATTTAATTAATGGTATACTCTTTTATAAAGATTTAAATAGTTTTCTTTTTGCATACAAATGGGCTAGTAATATTATCGTTTTTAGCAAAACGATAATATTACTAGCCTGTACATTTTGTACATTTGTTGCTTTAAAAACAATCTAAAATGTCAATATTCCATGGGTATATTGATAAATGAGATCTAAATTATAAGAAAATGCATTTTCTGCGAAAACTTGAAGGGATAAATAAAAAATGGTATAATACAATTTGATAGACAATTAAATTGTGCATCTGATTCTCCTAAAATATACAGGACGTTCCATTTAAATTAAAGAAGTTATTGGCGTTTAAAGCTAGAAATTATTTAAAATCAATTTTAAGACACTCTGTATAAGGTAGTATTATTTTTATAATTGCAACACAATAACTGATCAATAAATAAACTTCAGTAAATATTTAGTATTAAAATCTTCGATACCCTTGCACAAATGAAGCCTTAAAATTTTTACTGCAATTTCACAAAATTGAAAATATTTCAAAAACGGTAAGATTTTAGTGTAATAAACCTTAATCAAATTTACCTTTATTTTAATCGTAGAAACTAAAAATGTAATAATATACAGGGTGTTCCATTTAAAAAAATACAACTTTGATATTTTTTACTTATTTGGGACAATCTGTATCTTGTAAAATTATTTTTAATTGTACCTCTCTAATAGTCCTTCATCGAACCCAAAACTTACAATTTGTAAAAATATAATCGTTTCGCTACAATACTCTGTGTCGTATGTGGTGAACAACTCTGTATATTGAGAAAAAAAACTAATATCTAACATTTTTTTAATAAAATTACAATAAAAATACTTACCAATAGGGCTGTTTTCTGAAACTGTAGCATAATAAACAGGCGTCCTGTTACCATTTTCAGACAACATATCATCGTACCCATAAAATACAGGGGCATTATCATTGACATCCAAAACATTGACTTCTACGTTAACAGAACTGCTCATTGACTTTCCATCTAGCGGGTTATCTTTGGCTACAACCACAAACGAGTATCTGTCTCTGATTTCTCTATCTAATTGTCCCTCAACACTCAGCTGTCCTGTGTAAGTAGATATGGCAAAAGGCACAGATTCATTGTTTTCACTCTTTATGAAGTAGGATATGTTTGCGTTGGCACCATAATCCGCATCCATTGCCTCAATTTTTCCTGTAATTTAATCATAATTAATATGATCTAAAAAAATTTAAACTCGTACTTACCCAAAACTTTTTTACTATAATCCGCTTCCTCTGTATCAAAGTTATACCAAGACTTCTTAAATACAGGGGTATGATCATTCACATCCTTCACGACAATACGCACCAAAATGTAGTCTTTCAACAACCCCAAGTCAGAGGCCGAAACATTTAATCTAAACTCTGATTCAGGCGGAAGTGTTTTGGTTACTGATATCTCTCCAGTAGTTGGGTGTACCATGAAGTACTGGATCAGATGGAAAGGTTCAGAAGATTTGTCGTTGGGTATGAAAGTTTCTGAGACCATCTCGTATTTTACCATGGCGTTCTCACCGGCGTCTTTGTCTGTGGCTATCAGCTTCAGCACTTGATTGCCTGCGAAAGAAATAAATATGTCATCTGTCATAATACAGAAATACACGTCTGCGATTTTGGTTTATTTGAGTAAAGTTACAGTTGAGGGTGAAGTGGAGGCTAAGAATCAGTTTGAGTATTTTCCAAGAGTATGGTTTAGGTATGTGGATGATATTTTTGCTGTTTTTGACACACATTCGGAAAACATAGATAATTTTATTTCTAAGTTAAATAATCGTTTTCCTTCCATTAAATTTATGCATGAAATTGAGAACAACGACAGATTACCATTTCTAGATGTATTAGTTATTAGAAATAATAATAATTGCCTGGAATTTAATATCTATAGGAAAAATACCACTACACGCAGATATATTCCTAATGAATCATATCATAGTGTTGAATAAAATGGCTAGTTTTAAATTTCTTAGTTCATAGATTACTTAGTTTTCCACTTTCCAGCAAAAGATATGAAATAGAAAGAGATTACATTAGGAATGTAGCTGAGTGTAATGGATATTCTCCTTCACTAGTTGATAAAATAATTAGAAAACGTAGGTATAGGTTAATGATTTCTGAAAATTCGACTTTTCAAATGGAGAAAGATACGTCAAAATATTTTTCAATACCGTTTGATAGAGAGTTATCCCGTGGTCTAAAAGGAATTTTTAAGAATGTCAATTATAAACTTGTGTATAGTGCTAATAATAAATTACAACAATTATTAGGTAATCCAAAGGATAAAACACCTCCACTGGAAAGATCCGGTATTTATGAAATTTCTTATAAAGATTGTAATCAGAAATATGTTGGGCAAACTAGAAGATCAATATTAACTAGATTTAAAGAACATTTAGCTCAGATAAGATATGGTAGACCGGATAAATCTTGCGTTGCCGAACATATTGTTGATAAAGAACATTGTATAGATCTTAATAATTTAAAATTAATTAAACAAGTCTCAAATTACAGACAATTAGATGCATATGAAAGCATCAGAATTAATAAATGTAAAGATGGTATAAACAGAGACAACGGTCCAATTCCTTCAAGTTCTTTGTTCCTACTACTCTAGTGGCCGAAATTTAACTGTTACGCTCGGTGGGCTCTGACTCGGTTGGCTAGATCTTGCCACGCCCACTCGGTGCCCACTGAGCTAGTATATAAACGCTCAACTTGTAGATTGTATTTTAGTTTACAATCATCTGCTGATGATGCTAACATGGTTAGCGAAACGCGCGTCCAGTGTAAAAGTAAAAGTGTTTTGGTGTATTGTGGTGATTTAGTGTTTTTATTTTGCTGAGTAAAGTTAATTAATTTTAACTCATACTAACACTTGTAACTAATTATTAAGCTACTTGTTAAAGATATGTAACAAATTGTTTTGTTTTGTCATGGTAACCATGATGTTATAGCGTATTTGTTGTATTAAAAATATGAAAAAAAAATGGAATAAATCGCAAACTATTAAAAATAGGTATATGATATACTTAATAAAAGTTGAAGAGTTTTGTAAAATCTATCAGAAAAAATTATAATATATGGGGTGTACAATTTAAAAAATTTGAGATTTTTTAATTTTAAATAGTAGAAATTCATAAAAATATTTTGGACACTCTGTAGCATTTAAATAAAATATCTTTACATATATCTTTTTTTCATCTCTATAAAACTCTCATACCAAATTTTGATACTTTAACGCGGAATTTTACGCAGAATCTAAAAATAAAATAAAAAATAGGGTGTTGCATTTAAAAAAAACATATGTTATATCCGCCACACTTTTTTGAAGTACCTTGTATACTCTATAATAATTTTAAAATGTGTAACTTAACTTTCCCTATAACTTTTATATTTAACATTTTGTTGTAAACCTCGAAACAAATGAGATAATGGACTTTACTCTGTCGTTAACTCACCCTGTACATGATGTCTTATTTTCGTGTGTTTTATAAAGTTTCTCAAGAAATTATAGATATATATAGATACTCAAGAAATTCGAGAAATAAAAAGATTGAGAAACCAAAAACCTTAATATCAACTTACCAACTCCAATATCTTCTGGTACAGATACCAAAGGAGATATCTTCGGTTTAGGAATCTTAGCTCTCAAATAAGCTTGAGTAAGTCCAAACTTAGTAACATTTGGATCATGTATTTGCTCAAAATGCCCCACTCTATTTCCTGTTTTATCATAATCTAGTACTTTAACGCCTTTCTCAGTATAAATATCAATTTCACCGAACATCGGAGCATTGTCATTGATGTCTTCTATCTGAATTGTCAAAGGAACCTCACTGTATAATCCTCCTTTATCTTTAGCAACCAGTCTTAGATTGTATTCAGAAACTGTTTCTCTATCCAAAGGACTTGCAGCACCAACAAATTGGATTTTACCAGTATTTTTATCTAGTCTAAACATTTCACTGCCTTCACCAAATATCGTGACAGTAAACTGACCGTTTGCTCCAGTGTCAGCGTCTGTAGCATGTACAGGAAAATCTAGATCAATTTCTGTACTTGTCAAAGCGTTTTCCTTAATTCTTCCTCGATATTCACTCCGTTCAAACGTAGGCTTGTTATCATTTTCATCATCTACAGTTATGACAACCTGGTAAATCCCAGTTCCTAGTACTTCACCTTTACTGTACTGTGCTATGACGGTGAGTCTGTAAATATCGCGAGTTTCTCTGTCTAGTGATCTTAAGGTGTGAAGAGTTCCATCACTGGTGATGGCTATAACGTCTGTGACGTCTTTCTGGTTGGCTATGGTGAATTTGAGGGAGTTTGTACCGTTTCCTTTGAAGCCAAGTCTTCCTATGATCATGTTTGGTTGGTTTTCTTTAATGTGGAACTCCAAAACCTCGTTTCCAGTTCTGTTAAAGTAAAATAGGGTAAAATTCAAGCCAAAAGTTTTGAAAGTGTTCTAAACTTACTTCATAAGAACTGTTTGGCCATCTTTAGGGTCTACTACGTGTAAAGTGACGTTGGTGATCAAAGGAAACTTTATTTCCATCACTAGCGACACCTTCAAAGTCATAATTTGAACGATTGTACTTGTTCAGTTCGTCTATCACTGTGATCACACCTGACTTTTCTTCTACAGCAAATGGTACTGTAAGAAAAAAGGATTTATTAAAAAATGAGTAATCAAGATTTTATTTTAAGATTATAAGTATGCAAGCTTTTCTAATATTTCCTCACCTCCTTCGTGGTAGCTGTGCAAGAGATCAAAGGTTAATTGCCCTGGTTCCGTTACCTCGGCTACACGAATCTGCCCAACGCTGGTGCCAATTCCAACTGTAGCTCCCACCCAGAATTCGTACGGAGCTCCTACAAACTCCGGATAGCCGTTACCAGCTGAAAAAATTTAATTATCATATAAAACATAACACGCCACTGTAAATAGTAGAAGAATATATACCGGGTGTGTCTCAAAAGTGGCTCACCCCTATAACTTTTTTTATTTCTTTAGAAAAAAAAACGAGATTTGGTATGTTAGTATATGACATACAATATACGTATTCAATTGTTTTTGGTCAATGTGGCAATTTTTTTTTTTGTAAAATTACTTATATTTTTTTCAGTGTAATTTCTTAAAATATTACAAAAATACAAAGTTTCTTTAGTCATTATCTCTTTAATATTAAACAAAATTTTAATATTATGCGTAAACTTTTGATAAACCCGAACCAATGACACATAATATTCATCCTCAAGCTCTTTTCAGAAGGTTTGGCTTATTATTTTCGTGAAAAATGAAGGAAAACAGGAAAGAAAACAGACCAAAAAACCTGGATAAAAGGGAAAACGACAGTGCCGCACGTTCCAGACGATGGTAATTCGAGATGCCGGGCCTGGCAAAGCTCTGGAAAGCTTCCCGGCCAGACCGCGACAGCGAAAGTGATTTCCTTCCGCTTTTTTATCTGCCCTCCATCCAGTTTTCTCTATTTTTCTTCCGTTTAACTGCATCCAGGATTGCAGTTCCTTTATTCCTCTTTATTCTACTCGATTTCCAGCAAAATTAATAGTATAGAATATCCAGACCTTATTAATTCTTTAGTTTTTTGTTTGATAATATTTATTTTAGTGTAGTGGAATACAGGGGACCGAAAAATTAAATTGCTTTCTCCGTAAGTCTGTACAGGGTGGATCAAATTCGACGCTTTTAAAGGGAAACAACTTTTTTTACGGGGTGTTTTCAAAAATATGCATTTTTAACAAATCGCTGTAACTCTTTTCTTAACTTCCAAAAATACAAAATTTTCCTATGGAAAATTTTGTATTTTTATGAAAACATTTTCAAAGCACCTTTTTACGTAGACTGTAATGATATAAGTATATTTTTTATAATAATAATTTAAGAATTATCAACAGAAAAAATTATGTTTACATTGTATACCGAACGGCTCTAGTATGGCAAGCTGTACCTTGCTACTCCCAAGGCGTTAAACGCTATATACGGGAGCTATTATTATTATATCAACAGAAAAAATTGTTGTTTATTTGTGACACCCTGTATATTATTAATTATATGAAAAGAACCTAAAATTACCTTTCCAAAATTATACCACACTTGATATTTTGTTATAGTCTTTTTCAAAATACAGAATTTGTATAAGTTCGCATCTTTAAACTAGTAGACTTTGGACCCGTTATTGATCATCTGCCCCTAATGGAACTCGAAAACATATTTTTCCGGCAAGACGAGGCACCGCACTGCCTCAGAACGCTGAAGTTATTTATATAAAGCAATAAAAAAAAATAACGCAGCCGATTTCGAGAATAATTAAATAGCTAACAAAGATTCCAGCCGTTGGCCGTCGCGCCCGCCGGACTTAGTGCCTATGAATTTTTATCTTTGCGGAAGAATAAAGGTTTTTACTTTAAAATCGCCCGTATAATCTAGACAAGAATTAGAATTACTTAGCGGTTACGCGAGGGTATGTATCACCCCCACCGAGTTAATGAATTCCACGACAAATGTTCAAAAACGGTCCCGTCTGTCCATAACAGAAGACGATCGATATGTCACACCTGTAGCAAAATCTAATATCTTGGTTTGCCATTTAGTTTTATTGTTATTAGATATAGTTTAAATGTGTTAATGTTGTTAAATATACTTTAAATTGTTATAAAATTCTGCATCTCTCATTGCAAATATTATTTTCGTTTTGATTGCTGCTCACAGCTAGAATTTTTTTGCATTACAGCCGGCACCGTTCCAAGCCTACTTATTCAAAGTAGGCGATTTTTAAAAAAATCTATATCTCGAAGAGGAATCGAGCAAAATATCAAGTATGCTATATTTTTGGAAAGGTAATTTTAAATTATTTTCAATGAATTAAAAATATACAGGGTGTCCCATATAAAAAATTAAATTTTCTGTTGATAATTTTTAAATTATTAATTTAAAAAAAATATATACTTAAACCACTAAATTCTACGTAAAAAGGTTATCAAAGCTTTGAGACTGTGTGTACATCTACTATTCGAAAATTCAGAATAAAATGGCATACCTTTAGGATCTCGAACAATGACACTGACAACAGCAAGAGATGTCCGTTTTTCGCTTGGATTTACCGGCTGATCTGCTGCTTCCAAAAACAGTAAATGCTTCCCTATAGAAAGCTCGTCATCTTCAACAAAAATCTGCCCTTTCAGCGGTTCAACAATGAAAGCAGTACTGCTATTCGGTGCTTTCTGAAGGGAATAAGTTACCAACCCATTTGTACCCAAATCTGGATCAATTGCTCGTACTAGGCCAACAAGATCTCCTTTCTTGGCTTCTGTACTGACCACAAACTCGTACAGATTTGACGGGATGAATGTTGGACTGTTGTCGTTTGCGTCTAGTAAAGTTACTTCGATTCCGACTGAGGCTGCGTCGATTTTGTTTGATACAACGCTAGGTACTTTTTCTTTTGCGAAAACTCTCATGGCAATTGCAGAACGCTTTTCTCTGTCCAGCATACTCTGGTTTCTCACCTAAAGGAGAACAATATTAATTGTTTAAATAGAGTTTTTTAAAAAATCTACAGATTATACAGGGTGGTCCGAACTGTATTCCGGAAACTTCGGCAGTGCGTATAAATGTATGTCCCAAAATGCTTAGTTTCAGAAATACAGGGTTGCGCCTCTCATACGCCGCGGAAGCTCCAAGGAGAACGGTAGTATCCTAGAGCTAGTAGAATAGTAGTATCGAAACGAAATTTTGGCAGCATATGTAGGTTAACTGAAAGCATTTTATAAAAATATATAGAATTATACAGGGTGTCGCCAAAAAAAGTTAGACATCAAAGTTGAGTTTTTTCTAATGGAACACTTGTTGATAAAGAACATTGTATAGATCTTAATAATTTAAAATTAATTAAACAAGTCTCAAATTACAGGCAATTAGATGCATATGAAAGCATCAGAATTAATAAATGTAAAGATGGTATGAACAGAGACAACGGTCCAATTCCTTCAAGTTCTTTGTTCCTACTACTCTAGTGGCGGAAATTTAACTGTTACGCTCGGTGGGCTCTGACTCGGTTGGCTAGATCTTGCCACGCCCACTCGGTGCCCACTGAGCTAGTATATAAAAGCTCAACTTGTAGATTGTATTTTAGTTTACAATCATCTGCTGATGATGCTAACATGCTTAGCGAAACGCGCGTCCAGTGTAAAAGTATAAGTGTTTTGGTGTATTGTGGTGATTTAGTGTTTTTATTTTGCTGAGTAAAGTTAATTAATTTTAACTCATACTAACACTTGTAACTAATTATTAAGCTACTTGTTAAAGATATGTAATAAATTGTTTTGTTTTGTCATGGTAACCATGATGTTATAGCGTAATTGTTGTATTAAAAATATGAGTAAAAAATAGAAAAAATTGGAATAAATCGCAAACTATTAAAAATAGGTATATGATATACTCAATAAAGTTGAAGAGTTTTGTAAAATCTATCAGAAAAAATTATAATATATAGGGTGTACAATTTAAAAAATTTGAGATTTTTTAATTTTAAATAGTAGAAATTCATAAAAATATTTTGGACACTCTGTAGTATTTAAATAAAATATCTTTACATATATCTTTTTTTCATCTCTATAAAACTCTCATACCAAATTTTGGTATTTCAACTTCAGAAACAATGGCACCACTGACAATTTTTTACCATACTGCAATTTAACATTTGTTTAAACAAATTTAAATATTACAAAAACTATTAATTTTAGGCATATAACATTATATATAAAAAAGGAATTTTACGCAGAATCTAAAAATAAAATAAAAAATAGGGTGTAGCATTTTAAAAAAACATATGTTATATCCGTCACACTTTTTTGAAGTACTTTGTATACTCTATAATAATTTTAAAATGTGTATCTTAACCTTCCCTATAACTTTTATATTTAACATTTTGTTGTAAACCTCGAAACAAATGAGATAATGGACTTTACTCTCTCGTTAACTCACCCTGTACATGATGTCTTATTTTCGTGTGTTTTATAAAGTTTCTCAAGAAATTATAGATATATAGATACTCAAGAAATTCGAGAAATAAAAAGATTGAGAAACCAAAAACCCTAATATCAACTTACCAACTCCAATATCTTCTGGTACAGACACCAAAGGTGATACCTTCGGTTTAGGAATCTTAGCTCTCAAATAAGCTTGAGTAAGTCCAAACTTAGTAACATTTGGATCATGTATTTGCTCAAAATGCCCCACTCTATTTCCTGTTTTATCATAATCTAGTACTTTAACGCCTTTCTCAGTATAAATATCAATTTCACCGAACATCGGAGCATTGTCATTGATGTCTTCTATCTGAATTGTCAAAGGAACCTCACTGTATAATCCTCCTTTATCTTTAGCAACCAGTCTTAGATTGTATTCAGAAACTGTTTCTCTATCCAAAGGACTTGCAGCACCAACAAATTGGATTTTACCAGTATTTTTATCTAGTCTAAACATTTCACTGCCTTCGCCAAATAACGTGACAGTAAACTGACCGTTTGCTCCAGTGTCAGCGTCTGTAGCATGAACAGGAAAATCTAGATCAATTTCTGTACTTGTCAAAGCGTTTTCCTTAATTCTTCCTCGATATTCACTCCGTTCAAACGTAGGCTTGTTATCATTTTCATCATCTACAGTTATGACAACCTGGTAAATCCCAGTTCCTAGTACTTCACCTTTACTGTACTGTGCTATGACGGTGAGTCTGTAAATATCGCGAGTTTCTCTGTCTAGTGATCTTAAGGTGTGAAGAGTTCCATCACTGGTGATGGCTATAACGTCTGTGACGTCTTTCTGGTTGGCTATGGTGAATTTGAGAGAGTTTGTACCGTTTCCTTTGAAGCCAAGTCTTCCTATGATCATGTTTGGTTGGTTTTCTTTAATGTGGAACTCCAAAACCTCGTTTCCAGTTCTGTTAAAGTAAAATAGGGTAAAATTCAAGCCAAAAGTTTTGAAAGTGTTCTAAACTTACTTCATAAGAACTGTTTGGCCATCTTTAGGGTCTACTACGTGTAAAGTGACGTTGGTGATCAAGGAAACTTTATTTCCATCACTAGCGACACCTTCAAAGTCATAATTTGAACGATTGTACTTGTTCAGTTCGTCTATCACTGTGATCACACCTGACTTTTCTTCTACAGCAAATGGTACTGTAAGAAAAAAGGATTTATTAAAAAATGAGTAATCAAGATTTTATTTTAAGATTATAAGTATGCAAGCTTTTCTAATATTTCCTCACCTCCTTCGTGGTAGCTGTGCAAGAGATCAAAGGTTAATTGCCCTGGTTCCGTTACCTCGGCAACACGAATCTGCCCAACGCTGGTGCCAATTCCAACTGTAGCTCCCACCCAGAATTCGTACGGAGCTCCTACAAACTCCGGATAGCCGTTACCAGCTGAAAAAAAATTTAATTATCATATAAAACATAACACGCCACTGTAAATAGTAGAAGAATATATACCGGGTGTGTCATAAAAGTGGCTCACCCCTGTAACATTTTTTATTTCTTTAGAAAAAAAAACGAGATTTGGTACCATATTAAGTAATTGTTATCAGGTAGTAATTGTTAATTTTGAAGTTAATATTATGTCATTTTAACAGAACGTCAACGGTTTCTTGTAGACGTATCTGTTTCTTGTAGCATTTTTTTCTTTGTTAGGCAAATTTGTATAACTGTAAACATAACTTCTGACAAGCAGTGCCCGTTTAGGTTTAACGCAGAAGTGTTTAAAAAAATAACTATTTTATTTTGTAGATTTTCTTGCAGTGCAGTGGCGAAATACCCATAAAGGATTTTTTTGAAAAAATATCTTATTTTTACAAGTTTTTTTATTAAAAATACTATACTATATCAATATTTTTTTTTTGTAAAATTACTTATATTTTTTTCAGTGTAATTTCTTAAAATATTACAAAAATACAAAGTTTCTTTAGTCATTATCTCTTTAATATTAAACAAAATTTTAATATTATGCGTAAACTTTTGATAAATCCGAACCAATGACACATAATATTCATCCCCAAGCTCTTTTCAGAAGGTTTGGCTTATTATTTTCGTGAAAAATGAAGGAAAACAGGAAAGAAAACAGACCAAAAAACCTGGATAAAAGGGAAAACGACAGTGCCGCACGTTCCAGACGATGGTAATTCGAGATGCCGGGCCTGGCAAAGCTCTGGACCGCGACAGCGAAAGTGATTTCCTTCCGCTTTTTTATCTGCCCTCCATCCAGTTTTCCCTATTTTTCTTCCGTTTAACTGCATCCAGGATTGCAGTTCCTTTATTCCTCTTTATTCTACTCGATTTCCAGCAAAATTAATAGTATAGAATATCCAGACCTTATTAATTCTTTAGTTTTTTGTTTGATAATATTTATTTTAGTGTAGTGGAATACAGGGGACCGAAAAATTAAATTGCTTTCTCCGTAAGTCTGTACAGGGTGGATCAAATTCGACGCTTTTAAAGGGAAACAACTTTTTTTACGGGGTGTTTTCAAAAATGTGCATTTTTAACAAATCGCTGTTTTCCAGCAAACTCTTTTCCTAACTTCCAAAAATACAAAATTTTCCTATGGAAAATTTTGTATTTTTTTGATTTGTTTGATAATTTTTAAATTATTAATTTAAAAAAAATATATACTTAAACCACTAAATTCTACGTAAAAAGGTTATCAAAGCTTTGAGACTGTGTGTACATCTACTATTCGAAAATTCAGAATAAAATGACATACCTTTAGGATCTCGAACAATGACACTGACAACAGCAAGAGATGTCCGTTTTTCGCTTGGATTCACCGGCTGATCTGCTGCTTCCAAAAACAGTAAATGCTTCCCTATAGAAAGCTCGTCATCTTCAACAAAAATCTGCCCTTTCAGCGGTTCAACAATGAAAGCAGTACTGCTATTTGGTGCTTTTTGAAGGGAATAAGTTACCAACCCATTTGTACCCAAATCTGGATCAATTGCTCGTACTAGGCCAACAAGATCGCCTTTCTTGGCTTCTGTACTGACCACAAACTCGTACAGATTTGCCGGGATGAATGTTGGACTATTGTCGTTTGCGTCTAGTAATGTTACTTCGATTCCTACTGATGCTGCGTCGATTTTGTTTGATACAACGCTGGGTACTTTTTCTTTTGCGAAAACTCTCATGGCAATTGCAGAACGCTTTTCTCTGTCCAGCATACTCTGGTTTCTCACCTAAGGGAGAACAATATTAATTGTTTAAATAGAGTTTTTTAAAAAATCTACAGATTATACAGGGTGGTCCGAACTGTATTCCGGATACTTCGGCAGCATATTCTGCAGATAAAAATAAGTAAAAAAGTGCGTATAAATGTATGTCCCAAAATGCTTAGTTTCAGAAATACATGGTGGCGCCTCTCATACGCCGCGGAAGCTCCAAGGAGAACGGTAGTATCCTAGAGCTAGTAGAATAGTAGTATCGAAACGAAATTTTGGCAGCATATGTAGGTTAACTGAAAGCATTTTATAAAAATATATAGAATTATACAGGGTGTCGCCAAAAAAAGTTAGACATCAAAGTTGAGTTTTTTTCTAATGGAACACCCTATATATTAATTTATTTTCGGATTCTAGAAAAAAAATAAAGGTGAGTTTTATTAAAGAAGCATATACCTAAAATCTAAGGATTTTGACATATTCCACATTTTGTGAAAATGAAGAGTAAATTTTAAATTTCGATAACAGCTACCTAAATTTTAGTTGACCTTGTATAGCCTGATATTTAATTACAGTAACCACTGTATGTTAAACCAGATTGAAATTTGACCCGAAAAGATATACAGGGTGAGACAAAATTAATATGGAACATTAGTCACATTTAAAAGCAAGTTACTCCTTTATTTTAAATGGAATACCCAGTATATTATTCCGGTGTTCAATGGGGAATTTATATATCCTCAAAATATTATTGAGGTTGCCTACCACTCAGACAAAGATTTTCCTAGATATTTTAATTTTTATGATTTTGCGTCAGTAGATCTTTATTATTTGAAAAAATCTAGGGGTGGCTGTGATATACCTTTTGTTAATTTAACAAAAATTAAAGAATGTGGAGTAAAACACTCAACGGTAATAAAAAGATACTCCTTTAAAACATATTTTAATTATTACAGAATTAAAACTAGATCTAAACCTATAATTATGTAATAAAAATTAGCTAGATGAAATCAAATGCTCAAAATGCTTCCTTTCCTGTTAATTGCATAAAATGATTGTCATTTCAAATGGATCTTTTCATTTTAAAAGGCATATGTGGAGTTCGACCTCGAAAAGCAGCTACAATAATTTCTCTCATGTCTGTAACTTTTTTTGGGGTCACCCTGTAGCACTCTCTATATTTTTAAAAAGTGCTCTGAATTAACCTACATATGCTCACAAAATCTCATTTCAATACAAACTGTCGTTCTCCTTCGAGCCTCTGCGGCGAATGGGAGGCGCCACCCTGTACATGTCATTATTGACAAATACTTCAGAAATGAAACTTCTACACTTTGTATCTCCGAAACTAAGCATTTTAGAACATACATTTATACGAACTTATTTACTTATTTTTATCTGCAGAATATGCTGCCGAAGTTTCAAGAATTCAATTCGGACCACCCTGGTGCTGGAATTTCTATATGACACACTGCATATTACCGTCAACCATCCAGTCCTTGAATCCAGAGTAAACGCCCCACTTTTATCCTCCAACTGATACGAAAACTCAGCATTATCTCCCTGATCCTGATCAGTTGCAATAATTTGCAGCACACTGAACCCATTAGGCAGATTTTCCACTATACTGATGTTGTAGAAATCGACCTCAAACTCAGGCAGGTTGTCGTTGAGGTCTATAACCTCGATTTCCACGCGAGCCACTCCAGCTTTGAGAGGGTTATCGACTTGGGAAGCCTGGATTTGTAGGACAAAGGTGTTTGCTGGTAGGGAACGTTCAGCTTCTAGGTCTATTTCGCGTTCTAGGAATAAGGTACCGTTGTCCTTGTCCAGGAAGAAGAGTCTTCGTTCGTTTCCTGCTAGGATGTCGTACCGGATTCGTGTGTCTATCGCGAAATCTTGGTCAAAGGCAAATATTGGAGGTACGAATGTCAAGGATTCGTGTATTTTGGCACCCTAGAAAATATATTAATATCAAAAATCAAAAAAGATACGTTAGAAAAATATAAAAAATGTATGTTATTCTGTTCGGGTCGCTGTCAGAGGTCGGGCAAAGCGGATGTGTGGCTGAAGGAAATATATATTATATTTCAGAAATCTGCCTAAGGTTTAGCCCTATCCCGTCGTGTTAAGCCACACCCAAAATTCCAAACACACGTGCTTTGATTAAGGCTTGACTAAGGTTTGCAGAGTTTCAGCATTTGCCATAAAATAGCGAACAATTTGTTACAAAACCTGTTGCGAACAAAGCAAGCTATAAAAATATACTCCTTCGGAAATTCCCGCCAATAAAATCTAAATAACACCCTAAAATACGAAGAGATAGTCACGACGAAAGTATGATTTCCAGAAGAAAATGTGGCTGCAAAATGGTCACGTACATCACGTACCATCCGAGACAACTGACCATTTTGCGGGTGTAAAAATAAAGAGTCTAACTCTGTCTCTCGACGAGAAGGGTAGTACCGCCGACACCCGCGACCGTACTCTGTTATGGTTAAGGTTTTCACGCGCCAGTGAATTAAAAAGAAAAGTTTCTGCACCAAGAAAGTACTAAAAATACAAAGTCCAAGGGTCCAACAATGATGTGATTTTCATTACTTTGCCACTGTTTTATGAAACTATAAATGCTACACATAGGTTTATCCTAGCCTTCTTAGTTCCTAAAATACAAGGCAAATTTGTGATGCGCAGTAGTGAACAGATGTTGAATATAGCTTTGACGCGCAGTAGTGAAGGCAACGTCTATCGGCAGGCAGATGGTGTGGACCTTGTTTAGGAGAGCATAGCAAAAGATATATTAAAGAACCAGGTTTTTTAAAATTCTCTCTCCAAAAAAAACTTTGCTATCTCTTAGACTATAAGTAAAACAGCGAAATCGTTATGGAAATGAAAATATAAAATGACACTGATCACAAGCCAATCGTATATCCGATGAACGGAGGCATGAAAATGCAATGAATTCAAAAACTGCGTAATTTTCTAACCAATCGAAGTCTTAAATTCAACACATAAAATTAATATCCTATCATTGTATCGTCGGATAACGGATGCATGAAAGTCAAACTTAAATCTCCAGAATTGTGGAAAAATTAATCAAAACACAGGAATGCGAAACATTGTTCAACATTTCGGGAAAATCTGACAGGCAAAGGCATGTCAAAAACTGTCAATATTGTTGTGGGTTTACTGACAGGACATTAAAAGCTCAATAGACATTTAAAATGGATGAATTTCGTTACTCTTGTACTGGATGAGTACTTACAGTAATAGGATAAAATTCCTGTATCCTTGTTCTGTAGACACCTTTGGTAAATTTCGGTGGTAAATCATCGTTGTCATTCACTTGAATTGTCACTGTAGCATTGGAACTTCTTGGTGGAGACCCGCGATCCTTTAACAAAGAACATATAGGGTGTAAATTAAGAAGTATCGAGAAACTCTGAATAGAATCGTTTTAATAATCATTGTACAGGGTGGTCCGAACTGTATTTCGGAAACTTCGGCAGCATATTCTGCAGATAAAAATAAGTAAAAAAGTTTTTATAAATGTATGTCCTAAAATACTTAGTTTTGGAGATGCAGGGTGTAAAAGTTTTGTTTTTATTACGATTTTTTCCAAATAATTTCTGAAGGAACGTCAAGATGTGGATAAAAATTGGTATCTGGGCGTTTTTTGACATGAGAAATTTGATTTTGATGTCAATATGGCTCCTACTTGTAGAGGGCGCCACCTACATATTTTTAAACTGGTTTTTTGAAAAGTAATAACTTTTTGTCCGTACCTGTATAAAACTACTGAATGAAAAATATACATTTTCTTGATTTTTTACGTAAAAAATGTCTCTTGGTAAAAATCGCTACAAGTAATGGTTCTCGAGATATTTATAATCGAAATTATCAATAACTGTCATCATTGACATAAATTAAACATGTTAACTAAATAGTTATTAGACTGAAATCACAAATTTGAAATGTTTTTGTACTGTAAGTTGAACAGAAACTATTTTATCATCATTTTTTCGAGGCAAAATTTATGATTAATTTAAAAATATAAAAAATTTCCAAATTTATCATTTCAATCAAATAACAAACCATGTTTATTTTTGTCAACAATGACATGTATTGACTATTTCCAGTCTAAATATCTTCAGAACGGTTGCTCGTAGCGATTTTTTCCCAGAGACATTTTTTACGTAGAAAATCACGGAAATGTATATTTTTTCATCCGGTAGTTTTATACAGGTACCGACGAAAAGTTATTACTCTTCAAAACAGTTAAAACACATGTAGGTGGCGCCCCCCACAAATAGGAGTCATATTGACCTCAAAATCAAATTTCTCATGTCAAAAAACCTCCCAAACACAAATTTTCATCTAAATATTGACGTTACTTCAGAAATTATTTGGAAAAAATCGAAATAAAAATGAAACTTCCACACCCTGTATCTCCGAAACGAAGTATTTTAGGACATATATTTATACGAACTTTTTTACATATTTTTACCACCCTGTATATATTTTTTCTGTTTACCGGTTTGTTTATTTTAAATACGTTTGTTTTCTACAATAAAATTTGCCTATTTATACTATTTGTCTGGGATTTAACTAATCTGTCGATTTTGAGGTTTTCAAATTTCAACAAGCATGAAAAAACCAGCCCTAAATAATTTTTGGGAAACGCTTGTTTCGCACCTCGTGGTGAAAACCCGCTAATTTGCATAAGATTATCGAAATAATTCAACAAAGTAGCGGAACGATAGTCGATAGTATCGTGGTATAGGCGCGAAGAAAAAAACCTCTGAAGAAAATTACGTAAATAGACTTAATTATGAGGCTGCTTTTTCGATTCGTTAATTGGTGGAAACCAGCGAGAAACGCAACGGTTGTTGCAAAGAAATAGACTGTTAGACCGATCTACTTATCATAATTTTATATTATTTTAGGCTTTTTACTTCATTACTTTAACATAAAAATTAATTTATTAGAGCTGATTAACGGGGTCTACGCATTTTATGCATGTATTCGTTATTTTTTTTGCTAAAAGTCTTTGAACTTGCAACATTAATTTTTATCGTCCATTTAAGACACTACAGCAGTAGGCGATATACTCTAAAAAAATTAGTTGCCTACATGCTCCAAAATATTATTAATAACTAATAATTTTTAATATTATTAATCTATACTAATATATAAAATCCTTAAGTGACTGACTCACTGATTAATCACGATCCTGCTCAAACCACTCAACGTAAGAAGCTCAATTTTGGCATTCAGGTTGATTCTAGGGTGTAGAGGTTCGATAAGAAGGGATTTTTCGAAATTCCAGTTCCAAGGGGGTGAAACCACCCCTCAAATATTACAATACTTTTTATTTAAAAAACGGTCAAGTTTCTGAAAAAGCGCTTAAACACATATATTTTATTTTGTTTTTTTACATATTTTAAGATTTTTTAAAAATGTATACAGGGTGTTTCAAAAAATCTGGTCATTGATTAATCACGATCCTGCTTAAAGCGCTTGACGTAAAAAGCTGATTTTTGGAAAACGGATTGACTTTAGGGTGTAGAGGTTCGACAAGAAGGGATTTTTCGAAACTCGAATTCTTAGGGGGTGAAACTATCCCTCAAATATTAAAATATTTTTTATTTAAAAACCGGTAAGTTTTTCGGAAAAACTCTTAAACACGTATATTTTATTTTGTTGTTTTACATATTTTAAGATTTTTTAAAAATTTATACAGGGTGTTTCATAAAATATAACCATTGAGTAATCACGATTCTGCTTATACTGCTTGACGTTTAAAGCTGATTTTTGACAAACGGATTGACTGGGGCTATTTAAGTACCTTTTTATATCTCTTTTGTTATTGCAGTACTTTTTTCTAAGGAGGTGAAATGGGGTGAAAATGATGTCTATCTTTCATATTTAATAACTGCCAAAATATAATACCATCGCCATATTGTTTTTTCTCATGCTGACATAAATGTGAGAGAAAATTTATCCAGTTTGTATGTTAATGGAAATTCTTGCTTTGCTTCATCATAACCATGTAATGGTTATATTAATAATAATGATTAATTTGACGCGAACGAAGTAGCCGGTACACGCTAGTATTAATAATAAAATATTAAAATAGATATACAGGGTTATTCGACACGGAACATAGTAATGTAGCCACACGATTTTTAGAAAACCCTGTATATGAATGTAACTAAGTATATATACTCAATATAATTAACGTTAGCATCTTTCTTATGTATGATTTTACCCGAAATAATACAAAGAATAAATAAACCTAACAAAAAGACTTACCGTGGCAGATATAGTCAAAATAAAGGTACGATCACCAGCGTCATAGTCTAAAGCTCTACGAAGAATGAGGTTAGGTTGATGGGTATTTTCCAGGGCGAATTTACCCCTATCGTTCCCTGAAACTATGGCAAACTGGACATCGGAATTTGGTGTATTTGGTTTGTCCCTGTCCACTGCTTTGATATTTCTAAAAACAGCAAGTCCTGAAAAAATAATAAAATTTGTGTATTAATAATTAATTATGTAAAAAATTTAAAAAAAAATAATTCGAATTATATGGAAAAATATAGAAGAATACATAATACATCACATTCTTAACATTCTTTTAATATATGGTAATTTTTTACATATAAAATATATTTATTATTCGTTTATTAAAATAAATTTAATTATTAAAATAGAAGAATGATGTTATAATAACCGTTTTATTGGGTCAGGTCATCAATTTATAGATAAAATCATTAAAAATCTATAAGAAAAAGCTAATATAAGAATAAAACAAATAGTGAAACAGTAGATATAAATTACTGTAAATATTTTTTACTGATATTTTTTTAATATAGTTTGAATACTGGAACATATTAATTGTTTTTTTTAACAAATATTTAAACAGGTTTTTTTTTTTTTTTAATGAAATAAACGAACTATATCGACAATATTAGTATCTGTACTCTTTAAAAATTTGTTACATCTTTAAAAATAATCTAAAATGTCAATATTCCATGGGTATATTGATAAATGTGGTCTAAATTATAAGAAAATGCATTTTTTACGAAAACTTGAAGAGATAGGTAGAAAATGGTATAATACAATTTGATAGGCAATTAAATTGTGTATCTGATTCTCATAAAATATACAAGGTATTTCATTTAAATTAAACAAGTTATTACCGTTTAAAGCTAGTAATTATTTAAAATAAATTTTTAAACACTCTGTATGAGGTAGTATAATTTTTATGATTTATGCAACACAAAATTTAGTAAATAGAAATAGCAAAATAAAAACACTAAATCACCACAATACACCAAAACACTTTTACTTTTACACTGGACGCGCGTTTCGCTAACCATGTTAGCATTATCAGGAGATGATTATAAACTACTAACTGCATGTTTATAATCATCTGCTGATGATGCTAACATGGTTAGCGAAACGCGCGTCCAGTGTAAAAGTAAAAGTGTTTTGGTGTATTGTGGTGATTTAGTGTTTTTATTTTGCTGTGTAACACCAAAGGTTCCAACCCTCAACTGTAATAAATAGAAATACTTCAGTACAATATCTGGTTTTAAATACATAATACATACCTAAATACGCCTAGAGAAATAAAGCATTACAAATATTACTGTATTTTGACAAAAATCTAAAAATGCGGTAAACCTTAATCAAATTTACCTTTATTTTAATCGTAGAAACTAAAAATGTAATAATATACAGGGTTTTCATTTAAAAAATACAACTTTGATATTTTTTATTTATTCAGGACACTCTGTATCTTGTAAAAATATTTTTAAATTGTAGCTCTAATAGTCCTTCAACGAATCCAAAACTCACAATTTGCAAAAATCTAATCGTTTAGCTACAATACTCCGTGTCGTATGTGGTGAACAACCCTGTATATTGTTAATCATCGCTGTATATCATTATTTAACTATTCTTAATTAAAAACTAATTCAGATATATCTGGCTTGACTAACTAATTTTAATAACTTACCTACAGGAAATTGCTCATCAACTTGAACACTATAGGGTGCGCCAATAAACATAGGAGCATGATCATTAATGTCCTCTACATACACAGTCACAGACAGTGATGATGTTATCTAGAAAAATACCAAAAAAATACTAACTTATTATTCTTCTATGGTCATAAATGGGTACTAACCGTATCTTCACCATCATGGTAATCACAACTTAGCTTAAATTTGAGCACATTCCTTGGTACTGCTGTGTCAACCAAGTCTTCTAGTGACTTGGCTAGAATTAAAGCTACGCTAGTTTTATTAAGGTCTCTGTAGGTGAAATAGTTGACATCTTCATTCTAGGAAATATTAAAATTGATAGTAAGTAGTTTATTTTAAGTGTATTAAGTAGTACTTTGTCCACTGGGAGTAAATGTAGGTTGTTTCTGGGGAAGACATCTATTCTGAGTACTTCCTCGCCTACTCTTAAGTTTTCAGGTACTCGTACAAATCTCAGGTACTCTCCGGGAGGGTAGAATTGACATCCTGAAAAAAAGAAAACGGGAATAAATATATTTTAGATTTTGTATACAGGGTACGGCAATAGTGCGTCAGATATCCGTAGCTCCTAGAATAAAAAACTTGGAAATCTTGTTTAAGTACATACCTAAAGTATGTACTAGGCTGTATTTCAGGAAAATATTTTCACTTCTATAGGGTGGCTCAAAAAAGTGTGAGTGGATCGGAGTTATTTTTTTAAATAGAACACCCTCTATATTATTGCATATATTTCTATAGTTTCAGAGATATTAATAAATAAATAAAAAATATATATTTTTTAGCCTATCTAAAAAAAATTATTAAAAATCCAAGAACTGTCCTGAAATCAAAACGATACTAGTTATTTACTGAGGGGCAAACTGCTCGCTGGTGGTTTTTGGTACTAATTTGGCATTTTTGGTACTAATTTGGTATGATTTGGTAATAAATTGGTATTATTTGGTAATAAACTGGTTTTATTTGGTATTAAACTGGTATTAAACAGGTATTTTGTTGGACATCTGGCAACGCTGGATTAGACGCACGTAGCGACGACGGCCGGGAAGCTGATTGCATCATTTCTATCACATTTGCATCTAAAGCTAATACTGAAAAATATCTGGAATCTAAAGTTGCTTTGACAAAATAGTTTAGTTTTGGAAGTCTTTCAGAAGATACCACTCTACATGTTTTGGAAACTGATTATACCCAAGAAAATAATATAGTTTTTAAAATACTAAAGCAATGGTTAAAGTCAAAAATTGGTGATGAACTCTGGAACACTCTAAACTGAAATAGTCTGTTTAATAACATTATTTTTAGCACGTCAATTTTACTTCCAAATTCTGCTGCAAACTTCGAGGCAAACTCGATTTCGGGATCGACTTTAATATGCAAAATAACCTGCTTTTGTAAAAAGCAAGTAACTTTACAAATAAAATATCATCCTTCTACAAAAACCACAAAAACAAGAGTTACAAAGGCATGCTGGGTAAGCTCAAATTTTCAAACACACTTGATAAAGCATTTTGATATAACAAATAAATTATTTATACCAAAAATTAGTAATAATCGCAGTGTTGAATCCGGGGTTAAATCAGAGGTAAGCAATAATTCTTCAAATACCTCTGAGGCACAACCAAAGCTAACTTCATTTCTAAAAAAGCCTTCTACCGAGCCTTCTACGGAAAATACCGAGGAAATTACAGAGGCATGCAAACCCTCATGTAGCAAAATTGTAACCCCTAATCTAATATGTGAAGCTCCCTGTAATCAATGTAAAAATACTAGACTGCGTAATTATCCCCCCAACTAAACGAGCCTCGGAACTACCCTAATCAGCCGCCCCTCTAACCATACCATCCACAAGCAATAATAATTATCTCCCCGATGTTACCCCTTTACTACCATTATCAGCTGCCGCTTCAACCTTACCGTCAACAAGCAATAATTCAATTTGGAAGTGTACAAAATACAGCCGCTCGCAAAGGAATAAAAGAAAAATTGAAAAGTTTCAGTATAATCAACCTCTTATAACCAACTTTATTTCGATATTAGAGAAAATAAATTCTACTCTTAAGGAAAATGGAGAAATATCGAAAGCTCTTAAGGAAACGATGATGGTTGAAACGATGATGAACCCGAGAATGAACCTGATGAGAATAAGCCAGAATCGAGGCCAGAATCAATGCCAGCAAACAAATTTTTAATCATGTTGCTTAAGACAGACTTTGGTACTAATTTGGTATTAAACGAATACCAAGTGTGTAGTACCAAATTATTCGTAAAAAAATGACTTTTCCAAATGTGCTAATAAGCCACCCTTGTTCCATTCGAAAAAATTGAGATATGATTAAAAATACGATTTGGGCATCTTTCAACACAAGAAAAACATTAGACCATGAAATATATTTTCCAAGATTCTTTGATTAAAAATTTGTGTGTTTAACATAGCCATGGCACGCTAGATTGAAATTTAAAATACGATTTGTTTGATACGATTGAAAACAACTGAATACGTCAATCAATCCTAATTTATGTTCTATACTAACATACCAAATCTCGTTTTTTTTTTATCTGAAAGAATAAAAAAGTAATCTGAACCATTGCCTACAACCATTCAACAAAAATAAACATCTACATTAACAAAAATGATCTTTAAAATTCTTTTGACTGAAAACTATCGAAGATTTTAATCTAATAGGCGTTTTGTTATTAGTACAATAATTACATTCATTTTCGATGTTACAACATGTGTATAAGTGTAAGGAAAAGTTAGTTTACTAAAACGCAAAGCAGAATAATATTAGGCCTACATTGGCAAACAACTAGACATGATTTAAAGCATCGAATTGGGGAATCGAGGTCAATTAACATCCTTTTTCTCTATGATCATCTGTGATGAGATGGTTGGTCAATTTGTCTTGAAATAAACGTAGTAATACACTATTTCTGACGAGCACATTGCAATATTTGCAGGGCTATAAATGTATAATAAAGCTATTTGGCAATTCCTATGTAAAGGAAAATTATTCTGATCGAAAAAGGGATGTTTTTTGAACTAGCTTATTTTATTAAGGGAGTTTTCTATGTATAGGGCACAGTATAATAAAAATAAATATATTTTTTCTATAAAAAATAAGCATTACACAACACACTATTTTATAAGAGCTTAAATAAAAAAATTAGTTAAAAAAAAAGTAATACTTTTTAAATATACATATTATTCTAAAGTAATAAATTTAGATTTTTTTTGATTGGAAAAGAAGCGTTAATGATCAAAGTTTAGGCACAAGATCGTCAAAATTCATCAGCCTTCATGGTTCTAACAACAATGAAACAATGAAATTTAGGAGATGGTTTCAGTCTACTTCTCGTCGAGGTCTTTATTACCATACAATGCGGCCGAAGAATGAAAATAAAAGAAACAGCAACAAGAAGATTATCAATTAATTATATTTATTGTTAAGAACACTCACTGTGGAATTTCTAAACGGAATTATAACTTGAATGTGAAGAAATTTTGATATTTTTATTATAGAGGAGAAATTTTAATAAATCACAAAAAAGGAACAGTTTGGCTTTCTTTAAAAATTTTAAGTTTTGGGTTTATTGAAGGACTATTAGAGCTACAATTTAAAAATATTTTTACAAGATACAGAGTGTCCCAAATAAATAAAAAATATCAAAGTTGTATTTTTTTAAATGGAACATCCTGTATATTATTGAATTTTTAGTTTCTACGATTAAAATAAAGGTAAATTTGATCAAGGTTTATTACACTTAAACCTTACCGTTTTTGAAATATTTTCAATTTTGCGAAATTGCAGTATAAATTTTAAGGCTTAATTTCTCCGAGGATATTAAAGTTTATAATACTAAATATTTACTGAAGTTTATTTATTGATAAGTTATTGTGTTGCAATAATAAAAATTATACTACCTTATACAGAGTGTCTAAAATTTTATTTTAAATAATTACTAGCTTTAAACGACAATAACTTATTTACATTAAATAGAACACCCTGTATATTTTATGAGAATCAGATGCACAATTTAATTGTCTATCAAATTGTATTATACCACTTCTTACCTATTCCTTCAAGTTTTCGTAGAAAATGCATTTTCTTATAATTTACACCTCATTTATCAATATACCCATGGAATATTGACATTTTAGATTGTTTTTAAAACAACAAATGTACAAAATGTACAGGCTAGTAATATTATCGTTTTTAGTAAAACGATAATATTACTAGCTATATAAATAAATCTTTATAAAAGAGTATACAATTAATTAAATATACCATCAGTATTTCCGCCCAAATACTATTTAACTACATACTTAATTGTGTTCGTTAATAAATTATTCTAAATAAATGTGGATTTGAATCAGAAATCAATATAAAAATAAGTTATGAAAATGAACGTCTCTGTTGTTATAAATAGGCATTTGTCGAAAAATTAAATATCATTTTTAAGGTGTTACTTTTTACCACACTGTCTAATACACATACATAATTCAGCCTTTTAGTATTTGGAGCAATTATTATTAATCAACGCAAACAGTCAATTAATGTAGTTTGAATACTGGAATCATATTAATTGGTCCTTTTTAACAAATATTTAAACAGTTTTTTTTAATGAAATAAACGAACTATATCGACAATATTAGTATCTGTACTCTTTAAAAATTTGGTACATAAATAATCTAAAATGTCAGTATTCCATGGGTATATTGATAAATGAGTTCTAAATTACAAGAAAATTCATTTTCTACGGAAACTTAAGAGATAGGTAAAAAATGGCATAATACAATTTGATAGATAATTAAATTGTGCATCTGACTCTCATAAAATATACAGGGTGTTCCATTTAAATTAAACAAGTTATTGCCGTTTAAAGCTAATAATTATTTAAAATAAATATTTAGACACTCTGTATAAGGTAGTAAAATTTTTATTATTGCAACATAATAACTGATCAATAAATAAACTTTAGTAAATATTTAGTATTAAAAACTCTGATACCCTCGGAGAAATGAAGCCTTAAAATTTATACTGCAATTTCACAAAATTGAAAATATTTCAAAAACGGTAAGGTTTAAGTGTAATAAACCTTAATCAAATTTACCTTTATTTTAATCGCAGAAACTAAAAATGTAATAATATATAGGGTGTTCCGTTTAAAAAAATACAACTTTGATATTTTTTATTTATTTGGGACACTCTGTATTTTGTAAAAATATTTTTAAATTGTAGCTCTAATAGTCCTTCAACGAATCCAAAACTTACAATTTGTAAAAATCTAGCCGTTTAGCTACAATACTTCGTGTCGTATGTGGTGAACCACCCTGTATAGTATAAAAAAGTTTCATTCATTTACAAAAATTTGTTTTATTTTTATTATCTATTAAGAAATGAATTTTTTAAGAAAATCGTCCCATCTTAGGTTACTCTCCTCTATATTATTCTAGATATTTTAATATCAGTACTAGATCCAACACT